AGCTCGTCGTCAGAATTTTCTATTGTTAAATGCACTGAGGTACCGTGGAAATGGATTCCACCAAAGCAGCATTTCTCTATCTTCCTCCCTCAAGCATCGATCGCCTGTTCGAGTCTGTTGACTTTCTGGCGTTGGAAGTAGGCTCAGTGTCTCACAGAATTGCAGCAGTCCGTCCGAGTTCGCCATAAAGAATACCTGGTTAGAAACCAGGCTGCACCAACTAGCTTGCTGCCTACTTACTTGAGAAGTGTCTATTCTGTGTCTGTGATTACTGATTTGGGCGCAGACCTCCGTGGGGTGTATGAGATTGTGTGGGGGTGTTTGATTGGGAGGTTTGATCTGCGGCTTTCACCGCAGACCATTATAGAGGTGAATATGACGAAATATGTCCATGTGGTGCCTGCGCGTTCGTTGTTCGGCGGGAGACAGGCGCTTCTGGCTCTGGTTTGGCAAGCTGCGTGCGATGGATTTCCTGCTCACCCAGTAGAGCGATGCTTCATGTGCATGTGCGATGAGAACGTTGGCAGCTGCCGTGTTGCTGATGACGACGCTGCAGGTACTATCGGCGACGCTGGTTGGGGTGGAAGTTTTAGATGCGTGAGGTGATTAAGTTTGTCTGAGGGATTATGTCTCAGGTGGTTTGTGCCGCTTTTGTCGTGGAGCGACGTGTCTAAGTGGCACGTGGACAGTCCTGATTGTATTAATGTAGGTGTACCCGAGCACATTTCGGCCGGGTGGCTGTAGGTCAGGTAGTCTCGAACCTCAGCTGCGGACTTAACGGGCGTGTGTTGGCACTCCTGGACTTGGTTCGGCAGTCTCTATTTAATGGAGTCTCAAGTGACCGATCATGCGGGAAAGTATTGTGAGGGCACGGCCATAATCATGATAGACTGAGATCCAATGGTAGGGGGCGCTCACCGATCGTTCTTACGGAACTCACTCGTTCCGTTTTGCCTTATAAACTCTCTCTCTCTCGAGCCCAGCTGGCAGCCGCACAGCGGCGCATAATATAGGCAGAATGGCAGTGGCTAGGGGCGTAGACTTCTAACTAACAGGTCTCGAGTGGAACCTCGGGTATTCCACACTTCAGGGTTGGGTATGACTGGCTGACGACGGCTAATACGCCAGAAATGGCCATCGCAGTCTCCCTTGTCTTTGTGGGTAATGCCATTCAGCCTTTCTTTTGCATTCAATTACTTGACCTCTTCGCCCGTGCGTTCCCCGTTCCGCATGCAAAAACCTCTACTGCTACTGGTCTCGTATTAGAGGTGGCTCCGTTTTGTCGGTCAATGGCCGCGGAAACCGTTGACATGCGTTTGACACACGGCAATTCCCATCGTCCAGAAATCAGGAGCCTCCGGCACAATTGCAGTGACCCCTGGCTGCCCTCAAAAACTCTTTCCACCTCACGCGCGTCGGACAGCCTGGCTTGATATCGGGGAGACCTTGGAGTATGCGCTGCTCCATTCCTCCCAAATCAGTTCAATCACATCTCCAACACTCAGCCAGTCACTCCCTCCTGCTGGCACAGACATTCACTCCCGCGTAAACAGCACAACGCGACTGAAGCCCTCCATGAGCGGACGCTTTTCTCTGTCACAAGCAAACAGCCGACTTACGGCAACCTGCCCTGTGTACACAATAAACCTGTTCTCACAGCTTCCTGACTTCTGACCTAAGACGGAACGAACTTAATGTGTGTGGTTTAAGTTGATCTCACATCCTTGACCGCCACAATTTCAAATGATTATTATAGGACAAAGACAAGGGAGACAAGGGAGTCTCCCTTGTATTTTTAGGTAATGTCATTCAGACTGGGATCCTTTCTACATTGACGGTGATGGGGCGTTGAGGTTAGTTTTCACGGGTGGTGGGATAATGACTGTTGTCTTCGCCGTTTGGGAGGCCAGTTTCAGTAGTGGTGATGGATTTGGTCGTGAGTGCGAACGATGCCTCCGGTAGTTTGCTCACATGCAGTGGTGTTCGCCGTTGTTGGTGTTGCGGGTTACGTCAATGATGACTGTAGAGACATTTTCGGAGGCACCGGGTGGAGTTGTGACAGCATCCGATCCGATTGTGTCCAATGAGGCCGATCCGCGCACGGAAATTCCGATTACAGATTAATCATTAAATGAGTGGTTTGTCATTTAAATTGCTTATCCATGGCACTAGGAATACGAGTCAATGGCCTAACCGACTGCTAATGTACGGCTCGTTGACTTTCCACGGGGTACAGTCTTGCCACTGAAGAAAGTGGACGGAAAATGAAGTCCCTAACGAATACGGTGAGGCCACTGACGAATGCAAAAACATATTGCAGTCGGTTCGAAAGAGAAGCCCGGACTACACATTTGGCTGTCCAAAGACCACACATGGCAGCCATTTCACCCGAAATACGCGTCATCAGTCCTTGACATTTCTTCCAGAAACGAACACTGTCATCCGCAGAATTTCACGAGACGGATTCTGTGATGAACAACTTTCGTGAATTACCTTATTATCCTTTTGTAATATCCACGCAGAAATGCAAAGCTGCTGAGGCATTGTAGATGTGGAGTGAATACACGAAAATTAGGGTAGAAGTGGTCGTTATACAAACCGTGGCTCATGATGACGAGGAACTTAAAGAGGTTGTCATATAGGCTTCCATCACAATCGAGAACAGTAGATCTACGACAACGGATGACTTCTAGCGTGCCAAGTCAATGAGTTTGTGCTGCGTGTTTGGTCCGAAAAAGACACAATCCACATACTACTGAAGATTTATAATGATCAGAAGGATCAGCTGTACGTCGAACATGATTGTCGAGGTATCTAACCCTGCGTGACCTGCAAACTGGACAGACGGACACTGCTTTAATGAAGCAACTAGCAAGAGAGCCTGTATACTTGTACGGAACAGACGAAAACTTTCCCTATTTGTGGCGTTTTGATGGACTGCAAAGAACGCTGCGGAAATTCCAACAGCGCCACAACCGGAAGCCCGAAAACCTAGAGACCCATCCAGGTGGACCACATGGGCCGCCTTACAACAATATGTTCCTGGAAGAAGGATACACGATCGCTGGGAGAAGAGCTTTATTAGACTGACGTTTTGAATTCCTGCTCTAACCCATCATCACAGACAAAAGCCTATACGGGTGCTTCATGCTCAAGGGACTGCAGTATTCATAGGATGCAGTCGCCATACTACCGCATACCTATGAATATTCACAGCTTCCCCCTTTATCAGGGATCGTTGCACGTAGTGCGACGACTGTTTAATGGCCGACATTCGCATCGTTAATTGCTGCAAATTCGTCAAGTGTGTTGGGTGTTGGTGTGATGATTGCTCAACAATCTGACCCAACGACCCTGGTGTTGGGGGAAGTGTTCATCCGTGCGCTTCCCGCCTGACTAAATACTCCGCCTTGACGAAGTCTCGGCACAGAGTATGGAAGGGGATAATCAATGCATTTGGATCATCCTTCTGCCATGCTGAAATACTTCTCGACTCGCATAATCCGTGTTATCCAGGAGCTTGTATGAAACACATTTCGGTAACAAATTATCGTCGAGACAACTGTGCAGAAGCCGGATCTGCGAGTACGTGGAGAGACTGTCGTTCGGTGTTATTGCACCTGAGTTCAAATTCGACGAGGCCGAAATTCTCGCAAGAGGTCACTATTGCGTGAGCCGGGAGCTGCTTGAGTCATGATTTACTGGCCTCCAGTCCATTAAAAAGTACAAAGAACTTCCTTTTTCCTACTTGACTCTGGGCCTACGCCTTGGCGGAGTAAATAGTCACGCGGGTCGCGCAGGGGTGAGAGCTTTTCCCAACACCGGGTCGGTGCGTCAGATTATCGAGCAATCATCACACCAACACCCAACGCACGTGATGAATTTGCAGCAATTAACGACGCGATTTTTGGCCATCAAACAGTCATCACACTACGTGCAACGATCACTAATGAAGGGCGGAGTCGTGAATATTCATAGGCATGTGGTAGCAAGACGATTGCATCCTATGAGTACTGCAGCCCCTTGTGCATGAACAACGCGTAACTGCTTTTGTCTCTGATGATGGATTCGAGCAGGAATCCAAAACGTCAGTCTAATAAAGCTCTTCTCTCAGCGATCATGTATCCTTCTTCAAGGCTGTTTCTTGGGACTCGTCTCATCGCTTCTATTGTCAATGTTTCCAACTTCGTCCACCCCAGTTTTTGCGGGTTTGTGGTTGAAGACCGCATAGGACTGACCATTATTTTATAGCCTCTGATACTATGCCATGCACTTCGGCTTCTCCATAACATTATACGCAACCTACTCACTCATTTTAATCACCATTTGCATCAAGGAGTCCTTTCGGTAATCTGATGTGGATTTAATGGCAGCCGCTAAAGAACTTACGCGGCATTTTCACCCCATACAAAGAGAGCATATTTCGAAGGAGTGACGTCCGGTTTCTACTTTGTCCTGTTAAATTAACAAGAACCGTAACCGCACTGGACAACGCCTTCTGTGCTATAATGCTTTTTGTTTGGGTGTCGGGGTCATTTCGCTCGGATCAGGCGACAGCTCAGCGAGAGAAATTTGGTCCGCGTCACGTCCAACGGAACAGACTCATTGACATTTTTAGTGGCAGAAGCGCTGCCGTGAGGCCGAATCCTTCCTCCGCTCAGTCTGATGTTTGCATTCATGTCGATAGACGTATGCCGTGATGAACAGACAGAAACTACCGTCATCTCCCCAGCATATGGAGAAAATCTCACCTTTCGACGAATGCAGGCAATATCGCGAGTTCCTATGGGCATAATTCACGATTTTCTCTACGCAGATTATTGTGCGCTCCCAGACACGACTTCAGCAGAATGCATGCCACTTTGCTTCCCGACCGCAGAAACTTCGGACCGATTAACATCATAGTGTCTACGTATTAGCCAGCGTCATTTTATGATCACAACGTGCACAGCATCAACATAAATAGTACTGGTTCCGCCCCTGTGGGCCAAAAGTTTACCTTACAACGAAACAGCAAGGTCGGCGATGAAATCTGCCGCCGAATTTCCAAGACTGGGCAAGTCTTCGCCTGGTTGGGGCATTTCGTTTAGAATCGTCGTAGCCTTCACCTGAAAAAAAGGCGATGGAAGTACTGAGTCGCCTACCTAATAACGTGCTTGCATAGGGGAAGGATATAGACTGCAGATTCCGCTTCTATCAACTTTATTACAGCCCTTGAGACTAAACTTGTGAGAGCCAAAAACAACTGACGACAAAAAGCATCCCGTCCGACAGGGTGTTTCCTCCTTGTCAATGGCACGACAGTTCGACCATCAGTTTCCACGATGTGGGCTTCACAGCAGTGTGACCGAAGGGACGGTGACTTACGCGTGAATTAAGTTAAACCGATAGTAGACTTTTCCTGAATCTACCGAATTCTCCTCTCACCAGTGGGGGATGGCGCAAATGGCTGGCTTGGATGGACTTGGACTTAGGCGTACCACCACAGTGTGCGGTTCACAACAAACACCTAAGCAGGATTTCAAACATCGCGACAAAAAAGGAGATTGCTGGCGTGACTGGAGCGCCCCTAGGCATACCACCACAGCGGACTCGGGACATTCTAGAGGCCACTTTGAGAAGAAGCCATTGCAACCTGACTCTCAGTCCGCCAGTCAGTCACTTCACACTAACACAAACTGAGCCGACTGCCAATCCTGAGCTTTCTCCTCCGTTGGTAACCTTCCAAGGCATGTCTTCTAGCACACCGTGATAACTTCAAGCGCGTCAGATTGTTTATAGTAAGGAAAATGCACTGAGACATCGACCTCGCTCCCAGATCTCATCCTCAGGCCTCAGCCGCTGTCCGAGTCCGGTCAGATATCTAGTGCGGGTAGTGTGCAGTGGTTGGCATATATAATGACCCCGTCTTCGCGTACAACACACTCGACCTGGCCTCATCAACACAAGCATCAGGGACTCACTCAACAGGGGATGGGCGACATACATCTCACGAGTGGGGGACTGCTAGATGGCAGGTTAAGAAGGAGCTGTTGCAGCCTGAGTCTCAGTCAACCATTCAGTCACTCAACACAAAAGCACACAACTTGGCTGACTACATGGACTGAGTTAAAACGCCTGTTTCCAACCTTACATGTTCCGGTGCCTGACGCCCCGTGATGATCTCAGACTCGGATCACACATGCAGCAAATTATCCTCATGGAGGAGAAACCGACAGGCCCACTTCCAACTTACCAACAATCACGCCCTTGTGCTGTGTGATGATATGTGGTGTTTGTGTGCATTATGGGTGTTGGCGAGGAAAATGTGATGACATGGTATGGCTGTCGGCGTTTTACCGCAGGTCTTCATGGACGCGTATGTGGTCGGATAGGCACACGCGGTGACTGAGTGTGCCGTGACAATGTGGATGGTTGAAGTTATGGCGTCAGTATCGGTGCGGTGGGTCCCCAAATGGGCATCGCTGCGGGCGCTCGGAGACAATGCTGACCAAACCAGCTGCAAAATTACACCCGAAAAAATCGCTCAAGCATTACAAGTCTATTCTGTGACTTTGGAAATATTTCGACCGAAATGGGTGGGCGCGACGCACTGTCTTGAGCGGTGGGCCAAAGCCTTCGAAACTCACTACACTGAAGAAAATAAAGCGTGTAAAATTATTGAAAAGCACGGATCAGCGCTGTAAATTCCCAAAACATACCAACATACCGGTGCTTCCAACTGTCTTTCAGAGGACGAATCGGACTTGTCCGATACCTTCGGACCAAACATGCTCAAAGCGTCACTCCTGACACAATGTGTCAGCATCACCAGCTCGGCCGCAGAAGTGGATTTCCTCACTTATCTACATATTATTCCTTCCACCCGCAAAACATCACGAGCATAGTTGTAAGACAACTTAATTTTACATTCAAACAGACGACTAACCAAAATACGATTAAAAGACCAGCGACAGACTGAAAAGAACTTATGTAGGCACTCAATTTAGTATAGTTAGGGCCATCTCCCTGCTTAGCACAAATTCCAGACTTGCGGATGTATGTAAAAAGCCTCTTTTCGCTTATTTGCTGACCGCCACAGTTGTCGCCATAGAGGCCCAGAGCCGTCGAGAAGGTAGCATGGAAGCTTTTCCTCATTAAAAACCCGTTGGAGTGACATTCAACACGGAAAGTGTCAATTGTCGTGTTCCCTTATTCCGACACATTGTAGACATTGACAAAAGTGAGCACACACCCCCTTCTGAGTGTATGGAAGTAAAATATCATCGTGATAGCTCACGCAGGGAAAACTGATCTACCAATAGCCGCGTGAGCGAATTTATGCGCCTAGCTGACTCAAAAATGGTTAATAAGTTCTAATTAATTATGTGATGAAGGGAAAAAAGGAGATCCAAAAGAGTGGTACATACCCATCTAGCCGTACTGAAAGACAGGAGTTGGAAATCCTGTTTTGCGGAGGACATTGTGCCTTGATTCCATCCTGTATTTTCAGTAGCGATGAACAGTCATCAAAACTGTTGTTGGTAAACGTTGGAGATCTTTTAATGACTTCTCACGGATAACTAACGATAAATTTTCGTGCAAAATCAACGCCATATTTTGGCGTACTTGAGATCTGGCCGCACGTCAGGTGAATGTTTCATAATTTATGTTCATAGAAGCGAACAGGCGAGTCCCAGGTAGCAGTTCAGAAGATGAAGATGCGATCACTGGGACAAGAAGTTTATTTGCCTGACGTTTCGGATTCTCACCCGAACCCATCATCAGAGACATTCGCAGATAGAGGTGAAGGTGGCACCAGGAGTGCAGTATTTATAGCACGTGGCTGCCGTGGGACCGTATGCGCACTGCAATTAACAGTTCTCACAATCGTCGCTGGGGTCGTAATTGATGCGGCGGTGGCTTGGCGGTCCGAGTCCGAGTTGTTAATTGCCGCGATTTCGTCATCGGTGCTCGATGCTGGTGTGACGATGGCTCGGCAAACTGGCTCACTGTCACCGTGATAATTGCTCACCCGCGCCCTCCCCACGTGACTGATTCTCCTGCCCAGGGAAAATCGCAATACGGAATAGGCCACCGGGAGGTCATTGTGTTTGTTGATGGATTGCGGGCCTGAGAACCATGACTCGAGCAGCTCGCGGCTGACGTGGTTGTCACCCCTTGCCAGGATTTCGGCCTCTTGAAATTTGAAATTATGGCCGGGTCCCGTCGAGTGTGCCGCCACCTGAGAGTTAGCGTCTCCCCGCCTCACTGCTGCTGCGTGCTCGGCAAGTCGCGTACGCAGTAATCTCCCAGTTTCTCCGACATAATTGCTTTGTCCGCAACTACACCAGATCCGGTAAACGACTCCAGACGTTTCCTGCCGTGGCAGCGGGTCTTTTGGCCTCATTACTTGGCGCCTAATGGTTGCTTCCGGCCTGTGTGCAACCCCAACTCCAAGTGGAGTGAGAAGACGACTGACGGCTTCCGAGACGTTCTTCACGTACGGAAGAGCCCGCCAAAATTTGGGGCTAGTTGGATTTGGTCTCTGGTGTCCTTTTCGTATGCACTGGTTGACAAAGTTGCGCGGGTAGCCATTGGCTCTCATTACCCGTCGAAGATATTGTAATTCAGCAACCTTGTCTTCCATTTCACTGCAGTGCGCCTCAACACGCCGGTATAGTGCCCTTACGCAACTGCGTTTGTGACTGATCGGGTGGTTGCTATTGAAGTTCAGTATTTGCGTCGTATTTGTCGCTTTCCAGAACACTTTGGTTTTTAGGCCACCACAATCTTTGCGGCAGACGAGGACATCCAGGAAGGCCAGCTGATTGTTTTCCTCCTCCTCCATCGTAAATTGAATGTCCGGGAAGACGGCGTTGAGTTGTTCTTTGAAAGTCAGCACCTGATCCCGTTCGATGACGACGAAGGTGTCATCCACATACCGAGCCCAGAATTTCGGTCTGTGGTGTCGGAAAACCAGCGACTCCAGCCGTTGAAGGACCGCCTCGGCTATGAGTCCCGAAATCGGCGAACCCATTGGCGTTCCCTTCACCTGCTCGTAGATTGTTCCGTCGAATGTAAAGTACGTCTTGAGACAGAACTTCAGGAGCTGGATGATTTGGGCGTGTCCGAGGCGATTCTCCGTTTCGTCGTACTTCTCTCGTAGGAGTAGTTCGATTGTCTCGACTGCCAGGTCCTGTGGGATAGAAGTAAAAAGGGACGTGACATCAAAGGAAACCATGATATCGCTTGGCAGGAGACTTACTCCTTTAAGTTTCTCCAATTATCACGGTGACAGTGAGCCAGTTTGCCGAGCAATCTTCACACCAGCATCGAGCACGGATGACGAAATCGCGGCAATTAACAACTCGGACTCGGACCGCCAAGCCACCGCCGCATCAATTACGACCCCAGCGACGATTGTGAGAACTGTTAATTGCAGTGCGCATACGGTCCCACGGCAGCCACGTGCTATAAATACTGCACTCCTGGTGCCACCTTCACCTCTATCTGCGAATGTCTCTGATGATGGGTTCGGGTGAGAATCCGAAACGTCAGGCAAATAAACTTCTTGTCCCAGTGATCGCATCTTCATCTTCTGAATGTATGTTCAACTGCATACTCCACCTGCCGTAGGCTACGATTTCCACCGGAAGGGGCAGTCAGCATGGACTGATAAACACAACTCTGCGTGATTGTGATTGTATTCAGCAGCGGTATTTGGAGTGAATAAACCGTTGGAAGCACAATTGTCATCAGATAGCTGTTTCCCGTCTAAAACATCAAGCACACGAGACTGATAACAATTAATAATTCTGATCGAGTCCTTTTATTGTAGACAGCGCCAATTCGCACAGTTTATCTCTGTAGACAGCAATCCCAAACAGCCAGAATTCTTGTCGTGGGCAGATAATCAGACTTACTTTGACATACGTCTCTTAAACAACAATTGCTACCTACTGAAAACAAGTACTAAACAAAGTATTCCTTAACTGAGCGCCCAGTTTCGAAGTATGTGGTAAGATGCTATGGAGTAAGTTGTCCAGATAAATGTAAGAGTTCAGATAGTACCAGCTTTGTTTATTAACGATTCTTGTCAATCAACGCACATTTGGCAATTAGGATTAGCTACTTTCGTCTTTCGATGACAAGAGGTCTAGCCCCTAAAATCGTCTCTGCAAATGCGTGCAGGCTATGCCGGAAGTCAGCGAATGTAGAAATGGCTTTGCTTTCATTATTAGGAGACAAATTTGCCTTTAGTACAACGGAAAAATTCAACCGTACATATTCAGAAACTTACCAAATCCCCGTTTTTTCCTGTTTGACCGAAAACAGATTCGGATATTCATCAAAGGAGAGATTAATATAGCACAGTGAAACTGAAAGGAACGTATTGAGCCTTTTCGATAGTAGGCAATCTGTATAGGCCCCTCTAGGATGGTTGACACGGAGTAAACCCGCACCTAGGCGTACCACGACACCCCCTAGTTCACAAAGTACATTGAATATGATTTTATACAGCAAGAAAAACAGGAGGCAGCTCTGACCCCAACTGGTCAGCTTGCTCCTGGGCCTATGGCGGTCCGCGCTTCCTTGTTCTCCGCTGCTTTGTCATGAAGCCCTCCTGCTCGTCTCACACTCGCTGTAGATCCGCTGCTGGGAGGCGCGAGGCTTGTCACTAGCCTCGTGAGCGCCTTCTCGGACTGGATGGCGGACAATGAGGCAGAGCAAAAGTTCCACACACGCGCTGGAGTCTGGGCACCTCAACGGCGGACACAGATGAAAACTAGCCTGGAGAGATCGCTCGCGGCGACTGCTTGCAGAATTTTGTGTACGCGCTTCCTCGGCGGCAAAAGTTGTCCAACCCAATCCGTCTTTCCTGACTTCTGATTTGGGAACCTTTGTCTTTTCGACTTTACCATTCCGACAGTCCTGTCGCCACACCTCCAATGATGGCATTTGTTACGGGTGCGCATTCCCAACAACGCCTGCCTGAGCCCATACTGATTCCTCGTGTTCATTCAGTGAATTTGCCGCACTGTTTGTTTTAGGTGCTTTAGTAGCTCCATAACATACACTGCTGCATCGATGTGATTACGCCAACACATCAGCAAGGAATATCTGTGAAATCAGTGTGCGTCGATTAATAAAAGGAATGCAAGTGGCAAACACGGAAATATGGATAACAGGGACCGGTGGCTATGTTACAGTTTTGCATATTCTGCTGGTTGCCCTCGTCGTTTATGTCTAACTCTTGCAAGCCTGGGGAACACTAGCTGGCTTGGACAAGTCTCACATGCTCGAACTCTCTGCGTCTATTTCTGTTCATCGGCCTCACCACTCACTTGGCGCTTGCAAGCGTACATTAAACCGAGACCTCTGTTATGCCCGCGAATCGGCTTTTTATTGCTCCCTTCTACCTTAAAACCTAGCAGAAAAACACCTATTCGCAGAGAAAATGCACCGAATTCCCTGGAAAATTTTATGGTGACAAGTTACGTTCTTTGAAGTCAGGGGTCCTATTTAACACTGGCACCCGAGTCGGGGCCATTCGCTTTCCCCGTCTTAGCCAATGTTGCCTGAGATCGGATCCGTCTCTGTAGACAATGTACTCCACAGAAATCGCCGCCTTTTACTCATGCCCCTCCTCCCATGAATTTACATCCAGACCCCTTCACTCTTGCATTGTCGTGGTAAGTGATGTTCCCTGAGTCACGATTGATATTGGATTACCGATCGTTCATCATACCTGGACCCAAACCCTGAGTGTCCATTTTAAAAGTTCTTTCGCTTGATGTCTCCGTTTTACGAAGTATATCTTTCCTGACTACTCAATGTCCCATGGTATTACTCACTGTATTAAGACCTCAGGGCGTTATTTTTTCTTTTGCTGCATGCCATATTGTTTCAGCCGATCTTTTGCATTGAAAACTGACTTTGATTGCAGAATACTAGTAAAATACTTGGACATTTCCTCTGCACATGATTCCCAAAGCCACCACTGTCGACTAGAAGGGTCACAGGGCCCTGGACAACGCAAGTAACTCGTTTCCATATGCAAAATTTGCTGATGTTTTTGTCAGTTAGTTTCTCCTCTTCAGGATTGATTTGATCTGGTATTCTCTTCAGATCCCAAGTGCCTCAGAGGACGTTTTGACTGTGGTCACTTTTTCTTACCACCCCGAGTTACTGCGAATATGGTTAGACTTCTCACTATCCCTCAATCCTTTGAATTGTTCGTGGACCCTTGTCTACGTCCATAATGATGGAGAGTTCCAAACAGCACCACTGCCGATGGAAACATGCATGACCTAGCAAAACTTTACGGCCTCCTGGTGAATTTGTGCTGGTAATCATTCGTTCTAAGCACCCGCTGAATATATTGTAGTCCAGCACACTTGTCTTCCGGTTTACTACAATGCGTCTTGACAGGCCGTCATGGCAACTGCGCTTGTGTTTGATCAGTTGGCTGCTGTTGAGGCTTGGCACTTTGGTCATATTAGTTGTTTTCCCAAGCACCTTGTATCTGGACCGCCATAATTTTTGCGGCAGACGGGGATATAGAGGACAGCTAGCCGATTATTTTCTCTCTCCTCGACCCTTACTTGCACGTCTGGGAAGGCGGCGTTGAGATGTGCTTGGAATCCCATCACCCGACACCTTTTTGATAAGGACGCTGGCCTACCCTTGTCTGTGGCCACACTGATGACGTCTTGTAGGCAGCAGCACAGTTGAAGGTCACGTGGATAATCTCGCAAGTGTGTGTGGTCGTCTGCAACAGCTTGACATAGTTTTCATCCTCTTCACGTGTACATTCGACGTTTTATACTTCTCCATTGACGGCCGCCTCGCCGTCTCGACTGACATCCGTCCTCTGCCTTCATCCATGGACTCCGGTTACTAATTTCTAATTGCTATTTACAGTCTTTTCAGAGAATTAGGAACCTGTACCGCCACTGGTTGTTATCAGTGGTGACATCATCTTTCAAATCACCAACCTCCCTCTCGCGTCCCAAACGTTCGCTCAGGTGGCTCACAGATGTCCTTGTTTCCTTTAACAAAACAAAGATTTTTCTAGGGGTCGTTCACTTCATGACCCTCTCTTCTCCTCATGCTATCAAAACTCTACTGGGCAACTACTCCAATGCCGTTGGCCTTCAGGAGCACCTTAACAGGTAAAATCCAACTTTCTTTCCTAGAAAATAATCTCCTATCATTTGACCGCCAGTTGCCGGCCGTCTACCTAACCACAAAACGTTTTCAGTACTTCTTTGGGGGTACGATTTGTGCCATCTGCACCGATCGTAAGCTCATTTCCGTCGTCTTTCTGCCCTACTTTACCACTCTCAACTCCCCTAGATCTGCTAACTGGACCATATCCCAGTCTAATCTCGGACATTTCACATTGATGGATCACCAAATGACATTGCTGACGTCCTGTCCAAATTCCCCGTATTTCCTCTTTATCTTACTCAGGCCACCGACCTCACTAAGATGGCTGCTGAATTGTTTCTAGTCGAGGCACCTTCGTGAAAAGATGTCACGTGTCTCCAGCACCAGGTCATTCCACTCAATACTTCCAATGACGCCAAGCTGTGCGATACTTTTATCTCCCGCCGCTGCCCCTCCGTTTCTCCATCCTCCTCTGTAAAATGTCCACTGTCCTCCACTGTGTCTCGAAATATGGATTTCGTCCTACGACCAAACTAATGATTGGTCGATTTGTTTCACCCGGTATAAGTAAAAGATAAGATGGCTCAGTAACAAACTCGTGGCGATTTTCAATTAGGTAAGGTATACTGGCACAGCGACATCCCCCTCATTACGCACGGTTTAGTCGATTCCACCTGGATATCATGGGTCGAATCCTCATTCGATGTGTTGCATCTTTCTCCATTCTTGCCTGGATCGTTTTACGTGCTGCAAGGTGCGGAAACACGAAGTGTACAGGACACTCCTCTGTCGTTGTGACGCCAAAACAAGAGTCCCTTTTACCAGTATAACGGAACGTAGAAACTGTTTCCGATCTTGATCTTTCAAATCGTTCCAAATTTATTTGGCTGCCACAAGATTCGGGCCATAGCCTATCAGCCCGATACGAGTCATATACTCAAATAGCTTCAATGCTTATCGGATGCCACTCAACAGATCACCCGGGATAGGGAAAACATGACATATTGCATCTCCAGGCTACCCTATTGCTGTAATGGTGTTCGGTGCCGCTGGCCGACTTCCTAGTGAGTTGTTCTCCCCCAGTGTTCGTGATGAAAAACGGAGATCCGACGAACACCCTGCACTGTTCGCACTGATCTATGTAAAATTACACCGTTTCGGCACGGCCAAACTCATGAGTGTTACGTTGAAATAAGCTTCGTAACATAAACTGATGTGCATAAGTCACCAAAATCATCTTGCGATGATCTCTTTCGTGCTGCCTATCGAGGGCGACCCCGAAGCCTAACTCATCTCAGAGCTGCAGTTCCATGGTGTTCATAAGGGTTTAGTAGGCACAAATTCTCCCCATCCCCCAATTCCCCTTTCCCGCGTCTTACCATCGTAATCATAACCCGATTCTCCGCCAAATATCTCAGAACAACAAACAAGCCAAAAAGTTGTCCAACCTGTTTACTTTTCTGATTGTCTTGCTTCTCGATTATCTGCCTTCGCTTTACACCGTCCTCCAGTCAGTCATACTCAACTACGAGGTGTGGAACACCTGCGGCTCTATTCCTCGACCTGTTGATTAGAAGTCTGGATCGGGTCTAATTTCGTAGCTAGACCTGCAGTATAAAAGCCCCGGCTGCCTGTCATAGGGGATTGCTGGTAATAGAAGAGATAACAGTAACTCCTATTTCTTATCCTTAACCCCTAACTCCTATACCTAATCCTGACACCTAACCCTAACCATAAACCTTCCCATAACACCAGCACGGGGAATGCTGAGGAGGTTTATGCCGAACATCTGGCAGCTGTGCCATACAGAGGCAGAACATCGGCGAAACACGTGTGTATGGGCTTTTGGCTAGTGAAGGCGAAATTTTGAGTTCCAGGTGTATGCAAATGTGAAGAAAAAGAGTCGAGTACCGGAGCCTTTCGTTTATTATCCTGAGCTTTCAGACTCGTACAGGAGTCCATCGTCAGAGGAAGTGACAGAAACAGGACAAGCGGCAGTTATAAGGCACGTGGGCCCAATCATCGACCGACGTCGCACGACTGGAGTTGACTGCTCAGGCCCCTGTACGCCGGCGCCAGATCGATAAGTCGATTGACCGAGTTCTCATCCGAGGCCCAGTCCTCAATCAATTCTCGAAATGTTTTGTTTCCGACGTTGGCGACTATTTTTGGTGGCTGCGAAGTTAAACTCTTGACCCATTTCGTAGGCGTGGGCGGCCAATTGTGATAATGCTTTGTCTCGCCGCACAGTCAGCTTATGTTCGTGTATGCGCGATCCGAGTATGCGTCCAGTATGTCCTGTGTAGTTACAAGGACAATTTTGGCACGGAATTCTGTCACTACCTCTGTCGATGGACTCCTGTACGAGTCTGAAAGCTCCGGATAATAAACGAAGTGTTCCGGTGCTCGACTTTTCTTCTTCTTCTTCTTCTTCTTCTTCTTCTTCTTCAAATTTTGGCTAGTACCTGTGTTGTTAGTATGGTGTTACCTTACCCCAAACTAACCCCTAACCCCAACACTAAACAGGCGCGAAGTCTGATACACCTAAAGACTGGGCCACGGTCTCACTGTCCTGCCGGTTCGGACCAACAATATAAAATCGTAGACGAACGTTCACCGATTACGCTACAGATCTCATTCATTCCTTTGTTTCTTGGGACTCTCTCTCTCGACCCCCGACAGCAGCGACATTGGCGCGTGCTATAGGCAGAGTAGCATTATCGACAAAGACAAGGAAGACTGCGACGGCCACATCTGGCTCATTAACCGTCGTCAGCAAGCCGTACTCAACCCTGAGGTGTGGAACACCTGGGGCTCGATCGCGCAATCTGCTGGTTAGAAGTCCGATGCCCCTAACCACTGGGACACGGGCTCGTTGCCTCGGATGGTCCACACCTCAGAGTTGAGTATGACTGCCTGACGACGGCTAACAAACCAAAATGGCCATTGCAGTCTCCCTTGTCTTTGTCGGCAATGTCATTCTCCTTATCTTACGCGCCGCAGTGCGACTACTAGTTGTGCTCGTGAGAGGGCCCTAAGACACAACGCGGGACGAGTGAGTTCCATAAAAACAATCGGTGAACGTCCCCCTCTGCCATCGTATAGTCCCGATTGCAGCCGACAGGAAAATGAGCCTGTATCCCAGTGGTTAGAGACGTTATACTTCTAACTGACAGATCGTGGGATCGAGCTCCAGGCGTTCCACACCTCAGGGTTGAGCATTCCTGGCTGATGGCGGCTGGCAAAGCAGAAATGGTCATTCCAGTCTCTCCTGTCTTTGTCGGTAATGCTATTCTGTCTATATCACGTGCCACTGTGCGGCTGCTGGCGGGGGTCAAGAGAGAGCCCTTAGGCACGACAGGACGATAGAGTTCCTAAGGGCGATCTATGAGTGCCCTTCGACCGTCAAAAAGTATCTTCGTTCGAGTTTTCCGTCTTTGACCCGTGGTTAGGCTTGAAATGAGTGACAACAACTTGTAAATGCACTGGACTTTTGACTCTCAACAGCGTTGTTTTGTAGCCCTTTCAATTACTATATACATGCTATGGTAGTAAGTTGTGAGCGTAGTAATCTAATAAGTAAAAGCAAAAACTGTCCAAGTTGTCCAGTGAATCTGCCCTAAAAACGGAGTGATCTAATGTTTTCCCTGTAAAATGCCAATTTTTGGTATAGATAAAATGATGCAGCTTATGTATAAAAATATTTAATCAGTACGCTTCACAGCTCAATCCACCCCCTTTGTCAACTAAACTTTTTGGTTAAATCATTCGAAAATGCCCAACACCAATTTGAATTGCATAAGAAACCTTGCTAAGGACGACGTCTGAGACTTTCCATCGATGTAGTATTTCCGAATTTGAATCATCACTGACGACCGCGGCTGTTGGATGCTACAGATAGAAATAAATACAGTAGTCCCTGTTCAAAGCAATCCTGACAAGGAGCGACTTATGTTAAAATGATGCAAGTGAAACAAATATTATCAACTAGTGAGCATTTTTGTCTCTTCAATTGGGTAGTCCAAAGTAGTGAAAGATCAAAATGTTATCCTTATTTAAGGAATCCACATGACTGTCAGGACAGAAACGCGTTGTTAGCCATAGAGTAATGACAGTCTGTGAAAATTAAGACGCCTGCTTTCAGGGTTTGCGACACCTAGTTTGTATTTAATACCCATCCTAGAACTTATTAAATGATTTTAGTCGGTAGGTTAGTGAAAAAATTAGATAAAAAATTCACCATTGTCAACAAAAAACGGTACCGACTGAACACCTGGCCTCTTGCTGAATCGAAGAGTGGTTTACTTACAACAGCATGACCAAGGAATCCGGTTTAGGATTTTGAATTATCCACAGCCGGCGCTTGGTATACCTGGGCAGCAATAATTAGGAAGCATGAAATGACCACTGCAGTCCCATTTTGTCATTCAGGTACTCTATCAACAAACCTGGACTGCACCATCAGTACCGCTTAAAGGACCAGTGCTTGTTTTGCCAATAGATGTCCCCTCACACGAACAAACTGAGAAGGATTCGGATCTAAATTGTGTCTCACAGCTTAAGGAAGACCTTTGCAATGTGCCTGCCTTAAATGGGCATTACGTGGTTAATCTACAGAGAGTACATTCTCTTCAACTAGTGTCCACAACGAGTTCATGGTTCGAAAAAAGGCCATATTTTGAAAAGTTTTCCCCTGCCATCCGCAAAATATTTTGCGTTATCAGCCAACCATACCCAATGGCGGTTTTTGCGAACTCCGAACATAAACCGCCATCGAGCGGTCGTGACTTAGAAGCAGTGCTCGGAGTCGACCACAAAACAGTATTGAGACATTTCCACCAACTTGGCCTTGTCCGTAAGAAGCTGCATCGAGACCCACATGGGCTGACTGCAGACGTGTCGAAATTTGCCGTCGGTTGTCAGAAAAGCTTCTGAATGATCGATTCTGGAAGCGCATTGCGACGTCTGACTAGAAATGGGTCTACTCGGCCAATCAAAACCGTCGAAAGAAATTGGTTCCAAAAGATCGGACTCCTCCTTCAGTCCCACGTCAGCATCGGTCGACAAGAAAATGATGATCTGTATTTTGTGGAATTTCGAGTGTCTGCTACACTTTAAATTTGTTTCGAGTGGCCATGCCATCAACTCAGCTCTCTACTGCCAACAACTGGGCTGAGTCCAAGACAAGCTTAAAGAGAAGTACTTGGTATTGGTTCGTCAAAAACGGAATCAGTTCCAAGAGGACAATGTCAGACCATACACTGCCAAAAGACGCAGAACAAGTTCGAAGAAGTGGATGTGGTCGAGGTCCTTCCACACCCAGCCTAGAGCCCTGAGGGCGCACCATCTGACCATGGCCTCATCCGATTAATGCAGCACTTCTTGCAAGGTTGTCGATTCGGTTCATTCGGGGACGGTTAAGAAGCCTGCGAAGAATTCTCAGAATCAAAGCCCAGGGAATGGTACTTTAATCAAATTCGGGTGCTTGCAAGTCGGTGGCAGAAAATTGTTGAGAATGACTGACATTATTTCGTAGAATTACTGTTGTTGCTTTTTGTCGCCAAAAGCAAGGCATTAATTAGTTCACTCAATCTTTGCAGAGATATCGGGTGTTTTGCAAGTGCTGCAGAACTTTCGCCCCTAACTACTATAAACGAAAATTAGCTGGTGTTGAGGCGACGTGGACACCCGTCCCCTGCGGCCATATACACAATGGATATTGCAGGCATATTTGCACAGGAGGAACCTCATATTGTATGCAGCTTCTGACAAAGATAAACCGCGGGTTCATAAGAGTAATGCACTTAGCTAAGGCACACATCAATGGGAATATCAGCTGAGATGGAATGTGCGGAATTCTGAACGTCAAGTAGAAGCATAGGAAGACAATTTCCACCGTGGAAGGGAATTCAGGGACCGTTTTTAGAGGTAGACTTCGACCAGCGGCGAAAATGTTGACTTGACACCGTCAGAAACCTATCTGTTTCTCTTGAATCAGGCAGGAGAAATTTGTGCAAAGATCTAATGCGTAGCTAATGGGTATATTATTTATGAATTCTTTCCAGGAAGGATAATTGAAATTTTTAAGGGCACCGAAAATCAACGGGAAAAATGCATGCTACTTAAGCAGGCATTTTTACCGAGATTTTGCATGCAACCGAAAAGGAGTTCGTTCAAAAGCCGGCATCCTGAGGTAAATAAATTATTGTAGAATTATGCTGCGTGATGATCAGTTGTACAACCCAATTTAATTAATCCTTTCGAAACGAAAACGCATTTCGGAATTTCGGTTAAAATTTCATGAGTTAACCCACCTACTGTAGAGCCGCGATTTTTTCTTATTCTTAATAAGTGGCAAATTATCTGCGCAGTGGTTACCTTCCCAAATAAAGCGATCATGGCCGGCGTTCAGTTAATTGTCAGCAGGCGTGTTCACCGATCTGTGCGTGGTACGGTACATGTTTGACCCAATGTGTCTTCGAGCCTCGGTACGGGCATGATACGTACAATTTTCTAAAGTTAGGCCTAAAGGCGGTTGCCTGACAGCGACCATTAGAACAGACGTGGACGTTCCAGCTCCACCCTAAATAATAATCTTGGAATAAAATCAAGGATATGTCAATGGAGACATCGCTGCTCCTAAGATATCTGCCTACAATTCGGCTCACAAAAGGCTAATGCAGATAGAGAGTCAAAATATAATTAGCCTTAAGGACTATGAGAGGAACAGATGGATAAAAATTGTTAAGGGAGTGATTGTGTGGAAGCTATCTTGATATGTGTTGTAGCTGAACATCTCAAACCCGGATAAAATGCTGCCTCTTAAGGGTTGGAGAACACATATGAAGCACTATCCATTGCCTTTTGCATTTTGGAGGAACTTACCCTTCCTAAACCTTGCTGCGAAACCCCTGTATTGGCCAGCGTCATCAGTAACAAAACGCACAGTCATGGTGTTTTGTGTCGACCTTATCGGTGATGGTACGTCAGTTCCGCAGATCTTGCCAAACTCGCGTGAAGATTCCGAAGGTCCGTCGTATATTTCGACATAATCGTATGGACAGTCCATCTCTCCCTCGAGCTGCGAATTGCGTAGTCAAAAAGTTATAGTTACAGCCCGCAGGTTAAAACCTTTAAGCTTGAGTTCACATGGTAAGTTTTCACCCACATATCGCTGCAGCATTTCCTTCAAATTCTTTACAAGTCAGCATAAATGTAGAATGACGAAATCAAGCTAAGCACATTCCCAGATATGCTATTCGGTTGACACTGGTGGCGTTATATGTAAGCATATATTTGAGTTATTTGGGGGACCCTACAAAACACGCTTACGTCGGAGATTGTCAAGCAATCAATTTTCTCACACCTCAATCTGTTTCGCGGCAAACCAATGCCGTTGCCAGGCCTACTCAAGCAAATGAATTGGTAACAATCGGGAGATGGCACCTAAAAAAATCAACCTAATTAAAGCAGCCTGTCTTAAGGGACAGGTGGTAAAAGGGGTTACGTAGGGGTTACCTAGGACTCAAACGCCTTCAGGCTATATCAGCGGTTGCAGGCCTACTTTCACGCACTACTTGGACTTTCTGCGACGGCCTAACATGGGCTGGCCGAACGAACATCGCAGGAGGTTACATGGACGATGGTCGCTATTACCCAACCTTCTCCATCGTCACACACATACACCTGAATATACAGCATACATTCGCACTATGGCATTTTATTATTATTATAGGTCTGCACAACATGGGACAGGAACAGTTCTCAGGCATCTGTCAAAGAGATGGCCTTGAGGCCAAACCAAAGACGTTACTGTACTTCGTCTATGTGGGCCCACACAGCTCGACCGCACGCAGGGCTTCCCTCGTGGAGTTTCCTTTTCATTCTATTCCAGTATGCCTCAATGACATTGGTGTGCCGTCCGGCGGTAGGGGCCTTGAAGTTCTCTGAGTGGTTAACAGAGAAATGTAGATAACCTTCTGAGGGAAGACTTATACGCCTTCCACTCTTCCATTACCACTTTACTGCCTTTGGCGAACCATTTTGTAATAACGGGACGGTGAGCGGGCCAAATTCGATCATTCACCTGTTCAAATAAGGCTTTCTGTCAGCTGGTATCGTACATCCCCACCAGCCATCACCCATAAAACCCCTATTACCACCTGTCCCGTAAACAGGCTGCTTTGGTTAAGCGGATTTTTTTGGATGCCATCTCCCGATCGCATTCTCATCACAATCAAAAGAATGCTTGTGAAGTGAAAATTAGTACTTACATGAAAACTGTCAAATGAGAGGACAACTGAGAATCCAACGGGAACTTCGATCAGCCAGAGGCATTTGCTGTCCGGGGGATATGCCGACGGATAATCCGGACTGGTAAAAGTGCCCTCGCCCGCTCTAAAGTAACCGCCGCATGGAGCTGTTGCGAGGAAATGCGTCGGTGAAACCACCAAATTTGCTGAGTGTCAACTGAATGTACAGTTGTAAATTACCAAGAACATCAAAAATGTGCCGTTTCACACTGCTATTTATATCTGAACCGTTTCACGGCAAATAAGAATTATAAACGTTGTTGGTCGTCTGCTTGGTTCAGTTCGAGTTGATAGAGAAATTACTGACAGGGTGTAGTGTAAAATGTCGCCAGGAAGTAGATGTGCTGCTATATAATTAGTGTGCATATTTTTGCACTAAATATCAGTGAAGCACCTTGGATAGGCTGACAAATAAGTAGATAAGGCAAATGGCAATCGAGATAAAAAATGTTCGACTCACGTCTGCAAGATTTTCCATTCGGATGAAGAGTGTAGCCCTCATGGCATTGACACTTGTAACTGCCTGGAATGTTCACGCAGAAATGCTCGCACCCGTGATTCGTGGTTGCGCAGCTGTCGAGTTTGGCAAGAGGAGCTAGGAATATGAAATAGCTCACAGATGACATATTTATTTATGCATAATTCTGAATTCAGCAGGAAACATAAGTAGAAAATACTGACTGCATGCAAGAGCCTTTTTGCACATGCTATTTATACTATACTAGATATCAAAAGTAATGCTCTGTTGCTGTATGGTATAACCTAATGTGTGCACCTAAGATTACTCGAACTGACTTAATTCCCAACCGTTTAACCCTTCTGCTAATTCACTGGTGCTGCATAGTCGTGCTGAAGGCAACATCTGCCAATACTCCTGCAACAAATTGCAAATATTACGTCTACATTTCCAGGGTAGCCTCTTGTCGCTTCACAGATTCATGACTTGGTGCACACGCGAGCTCGTCGTCACTGACAGCCAAACGATCTGCATAAGTATAGGCCAGAGATCTAACAAACGCTTTGCGTCCGCTTCTGGAGAGATGAATAGACGTTTAATGCGCTGAAACGACCGCCTTAATTTAATCATTGCGCCCATCTGGAGCTATACTTTCCTTCCTTGTAGTCTCCCCACCGACAATGCTCCAGTTACCAACATTATTATTTTCCGATAACGCAACGATGTAATTTCCACCGATAATAATTCAATCTGTAAGGAACAAGGTGGGTTGGTTCTCTCTCGGCACTTTAGAATAAAAGGCACCAAAGTGTTGCAGGAGTTCGCTGGAGAACTATCTAAACAGGCTTCGCTGGAAGCAGGCTATTTGCCCACCGAATGGAAATGTGCACGGATAACGCCATTTAATAAAGTCCACAGCAAGGTCTTAGCAAATAACTACAGATAAATCACGCTTACTTCAGTTTGCTGAAAAATTATGGAAAAATGATTAAGCGAGAACTAATGAGCCTCTTGGAAGAGCATAATCTGCAATGTGATGCCCAACACGGATTTCGTAGAGCCAGATCATGCATGACAGACCTATTATACTGTTTAGAACGCTGGACTCGTGCAGTTGATGGCGGTAATGCATTGCACGCAGTCTACGTCGATTTTAAGAAAGCATTCGACAGTGTACCACATCGGCGTCTTCTGTACAAATTAAGCCGAACAGGCATAAAGTGTAAGTTCCTGAGGTGGAACAAAAGTTTCTTGATCGGTCGCTCTCAAATTGTCCCCGTCGTTGACAGGCAGTCGGCGGAAGTAGCGGTTTAAAGCGGTGTTCCTCACGGCTCCGTCCTTTGCCGTATCCTGTCCGTTATATATGTCAACGACTGCGTCAGTGGACTGAATTGTGATGTCGCCATGTTCGCTGATGATGCTAAACTTTGGAGCGTCATCCGAACTGAATTTGACGAAGAGCGCTTGCAGGCAGACCTGACACGACTCGAGAAATGGTCACAGGACTGGCTGTTGCCGTTTAATGTGACTAAGTGTAATGTCCTGCGAGTCGGCAGGACCCGATCTCTGAACCGGAGGGTTGACCACCTAAACGGCGTACCATTGCAGGAGGTAGACGCCCAGAAAGACTTGGGGGTGTGGGTAACGGCTTCTCTAAAACCGTCGCTTCACTGCTCCAAGGTAACCAAGTCTGCGATGTCAGTCCTTTATCTTGTTAAGAGAGCTTTCTCTACCTTCGATGAGGACTGCTTCGTTAAAGTCTTTCGGACTTTCGTACGGCCACAGCTAGATTTCGCTACTCAGGCGTGGAAACCGTGGACCTCTAAAGATCTCAGCATCCTTGAGAAAGTTCAGAGGCTGGCAACCAAACTCGTAAGTGTACAGGGTTCACTACCCTATGAAACCCGATTGTCCAATCTCGGCCTCTTTCCATTGAGTTACAGACAGCTAAGAGGCGACCTTATACAAACATTCCGTATACTGCGCGGCCAGGACTGCTATCTCGTACCTACTGATTTCTTTGAGTTAGCGACCACAACGACCCTCCGAGGTCATCCACTTAAACTACATGTGACTGGCGCCAGGTTGGACATGCGGAACGTCTTCTTTTCAAACAGAGTGGTCGAGGCTTGGAATGCTCTGTCTGCAGATATCGTCATGTTCACCGCCGTTGGGGCTTTTAAGCGCAAGTTGGACCAGAATATCAATGAACGTTACAATGTCATCTGAACGACATCGTCTTAGCATTCCGTTCGAACGGTTTATTAATGCAATTATACTACTGCCTGCATTTAGGTAACGTTTGCTTGTCCTGTTATTATCCCAAGCCCGTTAAATATGAGTGTTGGCATTCAATTCGTCTCCCTGAGAAATTGAGATCGCACCAGCTGCGTGAGTTGACTACTGTACAGCAAATTTAGTAATGTTAATGTTTTCAACATCTGGAACCATTCGTTTATTCGACTTCTTTTCTGAATCTTCGCCAAGCTAAAAAACTTCTGCAGCTGTTTGATGTTTCCACTTTCAAATTTTTGATATAGTTCGCTTCCTTGTAAAAAAAACTTGGAGGTCAAAGGTTCAAAACCTATGTTTCCTTCAAATAAACTGAAAATTAAACTAAAACGTTTTCTTCAACTACGAGTTTCCCAGGTTACACCGCTTCAGAATATTCTTTCAAAAAAATGACCGTCATAATGGTCCCCTGATTAAATTTTCTCTTGAACAGTACTTTGCCTGCCTATCCGCGAGCAACTTCTATGTCTTTAAGAGCCTGCTTAGAATGTAATGCAGAATCTGTCAACAGAATTTATGGCAGTCCTTTACTGAGCAACCTAATGTACACTCAGTGACAGATTTCGGTCAAAAATAAAGGGCTCTACCCGTCGGTGAAACCGTAAACACGGTCATCCTTGGTGCCGTAACATGCAAAGACATAATTATTCCAATCTATAGCGAAATTTATACTTCTACACTGTCTTTTTTTAAACCGTAGTTAATTTAATTTATTTAGGCTCTGGACTTAAAAGCCCAGAGGCATTAAGGAAAACAGCATTTAAATGAAGTATTTTGACCGAGATCTGGAGAGGTGTGGATGACATTCTGAAATGCGTAATATCCGAATTTCGCTAACTCACTATAACTGCCTCCTCATCGTTGGTGAATTTTGAAGTACTTACCCATCTTAAATCGTGCTGCGAATCCCTGTTCCTGAGAATCATGATCTGAGACGAATCGCACAGTCATCGTATTATTTGTCGACATTACCGGTGCTGGTATCTCACTTCCACATAGTCTACGTAGCGAAGGTGAATGATCCGAAGGACCATCATATATTTCTAGGTGATCGTAGGCACAGTCCGATTTCTCCTCCACCTAAAGAATGCAAAAATCGAAAAGAGCTATCTTTTGTCGAACCAGGTCATAGCTATTAAATTAGTATTCATAACAAGAGGCATAACCAGATCGCTAATGTAGCAACTTGGCTAAATCGTTTACCGGCGAGCATAAGCAAAGTGGAATTTTATAAAAAAATTATCTCAATCAAAGGAAGGTTTCAGATCTGCCGTCCTGATGGCATCTTTAACTTCCGCGCATTATAGTTCGACTACGTATTCGACGATGTCAACCGTATTCCCCTAAGCAAGGTGAATCAGGCGCGTTTACTTGCGTTCAAATTAGTTTATTGTGATGGTGGATTTTTACAGCGTATACCGTGCCCTCTTCTCCCCCACCTGAACCCAGTGTCAAGACAGAGCCAAGAATACCAGAGTCGGGAGGACGCAGCCCGTCACTCCCCTTCACAACCCCTAGTCCACAACAAATACTTGAACAGGATTTTGACAAACAAGGACAACAGGGAAGACGCGAATGATTGGACAGCCATGCGCATGACCTGTATACCAATCGGGAGAGCAAGCGCAGAGAACCAGGCTTCAGAGTACTGCCAGCACACACCAGGCTGCAAGGGCCACAGTTTGCTGATCATGGCCTAGCAGACGCTCACAGACCTTGTGGCCGCTTTGGCTGGTTGCTGATGCATGGCCCTTCTTGGTTGGTAGAGCGATTCATCTGGTCAGATAACAAATAAGACCGCGGCTTCCACGAGTTAACACGCGCACACTTGTTTATTAAAATCCGAAATAGTGTCTGCAGAGCGCATCGGAACTTACCTCGAAACTCTCGAAACTGAGGATAACAGAAAAGCCAACTGGAATTTCAATCCGCCAGGTGCATTTGCTGTTTGGCGGATATTCAACCGGGTAGCCAGGACTGGTAAAGGTGCCTTCATTCGCCCTTAAGTAGCCTCCGCAATTTGCTGTAATATGGAAACAAATTAACCTAAATATTCGAGAGCTATAGAGGGGATCCCTTCTACATGTTCATATGCATATTGCAGACGTAACATAAAAAGCTCCACACACATACCCCCATTCTCCCTATTGGTTACCAGCCGAAGGAATAGTTAAGGCGAAAATATGCAATCACAGTGTTCCTGTTTATGTAATTTGCAGTCTTTTTGTTGGTTAACAGGGAAAACATCAACAAGTGTCAGGATTACTTCTAGGTAATTTAATGAACATTTAGTTGACATATACGTCAGCAAAGCTTCGAAGATGTGTTCACAGAAAATTAAGCAGGACCAGACACAGTGAAAAAAAGAACTGGTGACATTCAGATGCCAACGATATTCTCAAAAACTAGCAGATTAGAACATTAGCTACGCTACTGGAGATATAACCGTCAATCATGTAAAAACGGACGTGCCAGATAATTTCTGATAATTTTCGAACATAAATAACTCCATTTGCTGACAGATCCTCAAAGATGGCCCTTTTGACGTATTAAAGTGGAAACGCACATTTCTCACAAATCATTGCGAGCGTAGGTGTAAAATATTTAATTTTCGTATTTATGGAATAAGTGACATTCATTTGGGCTGACTGCGTGGATGCGACTCTGACGTAGTCGGACATTGCAAACCCTGCACAACCACTGGATCCTAACGGCTGAATCCATTGCTTGTGCGTTTTAAAAGAACTCACTTTTTTCAAATCTTGCCGTAAAACCCTTGTCCTGGTAGACGTCATCGGTGACAAAACGCACAGCCATCGTGTTATGTCTTGACTGTATGGTTGGTGGTACGTCGATTCCGCAGATCTTGCGCAACACGGGCGAAGATGCCGAGGGTCCATCAAACACCTCAACGTAGTCATACTGGCAGTCTCCATACCCCTCGATCTGTGGAATGCAAGGTCAAGATGTAACAATCGATGTCCACAGATTACAAACTTTCACTCCAAATTCATGTGACACATTATCACCTAGACAGCACTACAGCATTCTCTTTAAACTGCTTACCAGTCTGCATGCACAGCAAGCAATAATGAAACCAACAGTGAACTATGCTAAAAAAAACATTTGCAGACATCCTGGGCTGATGGCATCTCCAGTATTAAATGACAGCCGATGTTTGACTTCACTGGAGGACGCAAAAAGCATCCGGCTTCGCAACATACTAATCAGGGTAGCATCAACTAACCAATTTTCTTTCATTTCAGCATTTACTGTAAACAACTGTTGCTGCCGTCAATCTTGTCAAATATTTGCACAATTATCACAATCAAAGCAACGCTTGCAAAAGGCAAATCGGCACTTACTGAGAGATTTTCAAGCGTAAGGGCAACTGAAAATCCAACGGGAACTTCGATCACCCAAGTGCAGTTGATATTTGGGGGGTAATTATTCGGATAACCAGGACTGGTAAGGGTGCCTTCGTCCGTCATCAAATGACCACCGCATGCAGCTGTTATAAGGAAATGCATTGGTGAAGTCACGCTTTTTGTGCCATTACGGATCAAGTATTTACAATGCGTGACCTATCCCCTGAAACATGATGACAGAATCAGATGTGAGACTTTTCGGACGTTTTAAACTTTGCGCATTTTTCTCGCCCATCCAGCCTCATCGAGGAAATGTCCTTCTTATGTACAAATGCGTCCACGTAATTCTATCAAACAATATGTTCAAACATTTGAAAGAAAATGGACGAACCGATATCCCCGTCAATGTTCTTTGCTAAAATCTGTCCTAGACCTCGGTTCCGCAACCAAGCGTCTTTTGTTTGGAAGAAGAGTACTTTACTCCCGAGGGTTTTACTTAATAAAACTTGTTGGGTCTGTAAATTGGTCTTTTGTCCTATGCTAACCGTGGAACCAACTTGTTAGCACAATTGTTATGTAATGAGAATCAATGTTTTATTGATTTTTAGAAATTATATAAGCAGGTCTGATTTGATGCCCCGAGGTGCAATTATAACGCATACAGGCAAACTTTCGTTTAAATGGGCTGAAGTGGTTTCGCCGTTTGGAAAATTTTACTCAATGTCGCAGAACTGATAACCACTGAATAGTCATTTGCAGATTTAAACATACGGGAACGTTAGTTTCGGTGCGGTGTGGCTCTAAACATACCTAATTTATCAAATGGAATGAGCAAACATTAGCCGAATTATCAAGATATCAGTATTTATATAGCCACTCTGAATTGTTAAAGTCAGTTTTCTGATGTTATTCAAACGATCTTCTGCATGGAAAATAAAGCCCAGACACTCGCTAGTTCGGTAAATGACTTCAAGAGGCACCTTATTTTGATGTTTTCCACAGACAAAAATATAGGGTTTGTCTTCATTGGCGATCAAATGAAAGTGCTGGAAATCCTGAAGTATTTAACGATGTTTCAGGGCCGATCCGAAACTCAACATAACGCATGACACACAGAGAGCATAAATTAATTTCACGGAAGGAAAGCCTTCTATACAAACACAAAATGGTATGTTCACGATTACACCTGCCAATTCTATTTAAATGTACATATGACCGATCAGCCTTGCAACTTGCGACCTTGAGAAGGCATTTGTTTCCATGACGTTCCTATTTAAGAAAGTAAGGAGAATCCGGTTACTTTTGCTGGCCTGCATCTCAGTCAATTCAGAGGAGTAAAGAATGCCAAGAATCCTCGAAAAACTTCTGCAATCTATACTTATAATGCAGGCTATTGGCAAATTGCCATACCTGAAATTACACTATGTGTTAAAGGATACTTAAACGTGAACTTTCGTAAGACAACACTTTTGGAAGTTATTGTATTTGTGACTTCACATTACTCAATTGTTTGCATTGGGATGACAACTACAAAGCTGAAAAGGAAGTTTACTAAATTACAGCCATTTTTAACATTTTCGGGATTGTGCACTTTCCTGAAAAAATGTGGCATATCCAAAAACGCAGCACCTCATTTAGGATTGCATTTATGCTTTCAACACTTTAGAGTTGTTCTTTGTTAACGTAGATATTGGGTTTACGCATCGTTGTCGGTTTCCGACTGATTAGTGATCGTTCGAAAATTCCGACATCTTTCATGGTCTAGGTCACTAATTGTAAAATTTTTTACTTGTTTGCCAACCAAAATGAGCAGCTGCAAATTTGAAGGAACATCACCAAGGAGACCTTTCATTAAGTTCCCTATGTCGATGTCGTTTAACCCCGTTGTTTAACTGAAAAGCGATGATTGCACAAGCTTCTGGTCGTTTGCTAGGTCCAGGCTGCGTTAGCACAATGATTATTAACAAGATGGAGTGGAAGATGACGCAAGGGGTTAGGTCTGCTGCTGACTGTGGTGCAAATTTAGTCAGTACATTTCAGTGAAGCATATCGGTTGGGTGGACAAATAATTGCACTATTTGAACTTTCACACGTTAGATGCTGACATTTACGAATGATTGCTAATTGCGCGCAAAGCCCTATATAAGAATAGATAGAAATATGGACACTTAATCAAGAACTCCATGCAAATTCAAAATAGAAGTAAATGTTAGGTTAAATACCACATCGTTTTAAAACTATAAAATATAGGGAACAGCCGAAGATTTCGAAATGGCAAAAATCGTTTTAACCGAGAAATATTAAATTTCTAATCGCCCAAAAATTATGTACTTGCAACAATCCAATCATGTTAATCGGTAAAAGTAAGATAACGCGTAAAAATTTTTCTTTTTTAAATATGTATGTAATTGCCCTTCATGAATATATGTAACTTTATCTATGGCCGTTTGTCTAAGCAGACATTGTGGGCCTGAATTCCAAAGTATTTTGACGCACATTTTTCGCCTTATCGTCGCCTTTAAGATGCGGTTGACCATGTCAAGAAGATTTATGCTGGATGTTGCCGAATATATGTTAAGAAAATTAAAGTTTTCTAGAGCAGAAGGTTAACAGGCCAGTCAATAGCTAGTAACAGTAACCCCTTTTACAATTTTTTTTTATATTTTATTTTTCGGGTTAGAGCACGAATAATTTCAGACTGTGCTTGCAGCAGAAATAAACAGTTCATAATACTCGGTTTTTTAATCGATTGCCATAAAGTTATATTTTGCCCGATATATTTATTAATACTTTGATATATGACATTTTCGAAAAGCCTTGATAACATTTGTGAGTTATTTGACATTTATTAGCTGCAGAAGGCCGTTTTATATCAGGTTTGTAAACCCACTGGTACAAAAATCCATCATAGTTGGAAAAATGAACGTCCATAATGAAAGTCAGTGATGAAAATGCACTAGATTAATTTAAAAATCTTCTCTCCTAAGTTTTCCCTTTGAAAAGTCTTTTAGTGAGGTTTTCGTGTCTCACCTATTTCTAAGGTTTAGTCAAGATTAAAAGTTGGACACTCAGTCGGCTTTTCCAGTTCCCTGAAAATAATTGATAAAGTTTCTGCTGCAAATAAAATAAGTCATTTTATATTGGCGCATATTCGATGTATTTGATTTATTTTAGACCCTTTTGTATGATCTTGAATTCATGACACAGTGACTGCATATATACTAAGATATTGGAAAAACTGTTTACGAATTAGGCATAATTGCAAAATTTTATCTTATTATAAGCATTATACCGTATGTTTCAACTTTAACATAGCCAGTTTGTGGAGATTGTTTTTGTGAGAAGTTATTGAGTATTCACAATAGATAGGAGTATATCTGGAAGATATCTGGAAGAAGTGTTACTGCATTTTGCGGCATAAAAGCGTCCCTATTTGCACGCTGACGTTTTGAACTCGATAAAACGCCTGATTTCCTTAAATTAATAATCTTATTAACACTTAACGTGCGGCGAGTTCCGTTTGACAAACTTGAGTTAAGACCAACCTCTGCTCATAGATTAACATGCGCAGATGTACAAACTTAATGTAGGATAGTTGTAAACATAGGAAACCGCCAGACTACGGGGTAACGTTAATTTCTGTTCAAATTTGCAGACATTTTCATTTATAAACTTATGTGCAAACATATTCGGCATGCAGTAGGTGCTTTCTCTTGAATAGGCTTAACAAATAAGTTAAATTTTTCAGTAATATAGTGGACCACAGTTAATTACCCCAGTTAACGTCATCATATTTCATGAACTAGATAAAATGCTAACAGATAATGCGTGTCGCAAGTGAAGAAAAGATCCTCAACTCACGTCTGCAAGTTTTTCCGTCCGGAAGAAGAGTGTACTTGTCATGGCACTGACACCTGTAACTATCAGGAATGTTGACACAGATGTGTTCACAACCGTGCTCCGTGGTTTCACAACTGTCCATTTTGACAGGAACAGCTAGAAAGATAAAATATCTCACAATCAGCAAGTCCATTTTGCCATTCTACTGCTGCATTACTACACGCATTGGCAGCGCATGTGCTATTTATAGCTGACACACATGTTTAGCCGGTACCACGACGTTTAATTTTCTTTCGGGTTTTAAATAATACCTATTGGATTAGACTAGTAAGTTATATACTAGGACTTATTTCTCGTTTGATGTTTTCCGCTGACGTATATAAAGCTGTCATCCCAGTCAAGCTCATTGTCGTCGTGTGTAATATTTATGTGCACTTTTGGTCGTAGCCTACAAGGATCCATTCTGATTAACTAATCCCAGGTTAACATTTATCCCAGTTTATTAAACCGAATAAGTCTGAAGACGTGACTTCACCAAACAAAGTTGGAAAATAAGATTGTTTTATTTAAGGCACGGGATTTAAAAACTTATTGCAGTTCTATAAATCGTAAATCTGGCCTTGAACTTCTTCTTTTCATCCTGCCTTTCGCAAAAGACTGTTGACGCTAAGACTCTCATTACTATATGTTACTGAATACATATGATAAATAAGAAGAAAATATCAATATCGAATATTCAGAGTGAACTGTTACAATTCAACGTATTCCTGCCACTTTTGATGGAAAAAAGGCATGTTAATGACAACACGGCTTTGCTTTTAATGATAGTTCACAGTCATTCACGAAAACTTGCGCACTCCTCTGTGAGGAAATGCCAGCGTTTGATTGGCTTAAACATACACCACTGCGTACATCAGATGCTTGTCAGTACGTATGCACAAAACTCATCTTGCAGGCATTTTAACGACAATAATTAGAAATTTTTTGGCTGATAAAAGGACTGTCAAAATTGCTGCTGGAATCCCATTTTGTCCGCACTTTCAGCAAAAAATCGCAACAGTAATATGTCTCAGCATCTTCACGCGAAAGCCCTGTTCACGTAGCTGAGGATGAGGAAATAAGCGTCGCGCAACTGGACTTAATCCTGCCAATCACACAACAACGGTTGCGCCCCCTAATAGCTGGTCATGTTCAAACTCATATAACTACATCTGTTGGTAAAGCCTAAAAACGCTGTCGCTGCTGACGTCTTAGAAATATAAATGCATAATTTTTGCATATTGTAATGAGATTAGGTGAAGACGATTTCATCCATATATCAAGTGACTATCGAATGTTTTCGAGGATCTCTGGCCAAAAATGTGATTGACCCATGGGAAAACCTAGGAGTAACCACGTGGATGTCGTTTTGAAATTTGGTATACTGAAACATTGCAAATCCTGCCTAAATACCTCGTCTTAATGGCCAAGGAACATATATGCGATGTAATTTATTGCTTGTGCATGTTGTTTAAACTTACCTCTCTCAAACCTTGCTCTGAAGCCCTTTCTAGGAATGGAATTGTCCGTGACAAAACGAAGGGTCATTGTGTTCCGCGTCGACCTGATGGGTAATGGCACGTCCGTTCCGCAGATCTTACGCAGCAGGTGAGAAGATTCCGAAGGTCCATTGCGTATTTCTACGTAATCACTAATGCAGTCCAACTGCCCCCCGAGCTATGATACACAAAGTAAAAAAGGGATCATTACTCTCTGCAGATTATAGCCTTTCCGTCTGAGCTTACATGATAAGATCTTGTCTAGACATCGTTGCGGTACTCATACACAACATGGCATGATGAAAATCAAATTCGATCAGCGCCAACAACGCTTCCAACTATGCTAACTAGATGGCACCTTCAGCGGACGCTTGAGCTCATCGGGGAACACCGTAGAACTCAAGAACATCGGATAGTATAAAGTAAATATGGCTTTGGAACGGTAACAGCACAGATAAAAGCATTTGCACGTTGCGCCATTTAATGCGGTCAACGCGTGTTGAACGCAATGACATTCTGAACAATACTTGTACAAACGTCGTCCTGTTTTCGCAATTAGGCCAGAATTTAAATGCCAATTGGGACTCACTTCAAAACTGTCGAATGTGAGGACAACTGAGAATCCAGTGGGAACTTCGATCAACCAGGTGCATTTGGCGTTTGGCGGGTATTCCCTCGGATAACCGGGGCTGCTAATGGTACCTTGGTTCGCTTTCAAGTGGCCACCGCAGTCAACTATTAGAAAGAAATGCATCAGTGAAATTACCATTTTGTACGCTTATGGATTTGCTATTTATGCTTGCTTTTGTGTCATTTGAAAGACAAATCGCAAATTATCAGATGTCTACTACGCTACTTTCATTTGTTCGATATGTTCAAACTGCCTAACCCCGTTGTTTACTTGGCACTTGAGCATTATACCCGACACTGGTCCTCTGTTATGTTCAGATTGAGATAACACAGGAATTATTGACAAGATACATGGGAAGATGGTTCCCGGAAATAGGTTTCTTGTTGGATAAGGCTAAATTTCTGTTCCTTGGATATCAGAGAGGCACGTCATTAAAGGGCTGACAAGCAATTAAACCAGGCCAGTCACAATGGAGATAAGAAAATTCATATTACTTGTGCATGTCTTTCCGTCTGGAAGTAGCTTCTGGCCCTCAGCGCATTGACATTTGAAACCTCCGGGAATGTTCACACAGATTTGTTCACAACCATGATCCGTGGTTGTGCAACTGTCCAATTTGGCAAGGGGAGCTTAGAAGATGAAAAATCTCATGACCAGCGAGTTTTTTATGCATGCATATAAATTCAGTAGAATAGGTGACAATCATGACTCCTTTTTAAAAAAAGTTATTTGTTGTTGGGCATTGAAGATAACTTTCTGTTAGTGTACCGTAAGACCTAGTTGGGAATTGCCGACATTATGCAAACCTGAGTCAGGAAAATATTATTTTTAGTTAGTGTTTCATTACTGCACCATTATTGCAGCCTCAAAATGCGACTGACGGGAGCATGTGTACTATTTCATGTTAATAATTACTTACGCTAAATTAGTAGAAAATATTGCGCCCCATTATTCAAATTGCGATCTTGCTTTTCCCCTGATCCCTACATTGTTTGAGCGGTTATATTACAGAATGGGGACTAGTGCTATTGAGTATAAGAACGTCTTGCTGCTATCGTCGAGGTCTAGCTCACTGGTTTGTACAGTTACTTAGCGTTTGATTTGCTCTGGCAATAAACACAGCTTCCTTGATTTATTTGCGACCGTTATTTGATGAGACTGTGATATGTCAACTTGTGTTGTTTCCATCCGCAAATCTCTGATTTCCACCTATCTCGTGTGCCTTTGCTTCAGCGGCCGGTTTCCCACTGACGTTTGTCAAAGTCATTCTTACGCGTAGTCGGAGGTTTGTGTCGCCATACTCTAAAATGTTTTGGATGACTAAGGACCGTCATAGGGACCTGGTAAATTGGATTCCTCAACCTTGCCCTATGAGATAATTTCAGGGTTATTTTGTCTATTCTCTCCCACACTAAGGTTCTCTTCGCTCTTATTTTTACAAAGGATTAATAAATAATATGTTCATTGTTATCTGCCAAGTAATGAATCCATAAACTTTCCGCAGACGTCTTCCTGGTCATAGGATAAATGCATTAAGCACAACCATTATCAGTTTATGTGCAAATTTAAAGAACAGTTCTTGTCGAAAAGTTATAAACACAGTTGTCGTTGGAGTCCTAGCATTCATCGACATATTTTCATTTGATTAAGCAGTGAATTAGAAGGAAGATTATGGTTTAATATTCGTTATAAGCAAAACATTCACACAGCATTAAGAACAGATGTTAACAAGATCTAATTTCCAGCTGCTTGGTCAGTCAAATAACACGTGACCAAACGCTCTGTATGAATTACAATAAGACGGTCTCAAAATGGATCAAATTAGCTAAATTAGTTAAAATTTTCTTATGTACATGGCAATCTTGAAATGCGCAACATTCAAAACTCGCCAGTTCTGCACAACTTTTACCTCCACAGGTTAATTGCATTGCATCATAGGTGAATTTTGAGGCACTTACCCTTCGCGAACCTTGCGGCAAAACCTTGTCTTTCTTCCTTTTCGTTTGTTCTGAATGTCAAGGTCATCGTGTTACTCGTCGACAATATCGGTTCTGGTATGTCAGTGCCGCAGAGGCGGCGCAGTATTGTTGACGACACAGAGGAACTATCATATACTTCTAAACGGTCGAATGAGCAGTCTGGATCTTCCTCAAGCTACAGAATGCAAAATACGAAAATAACGCGTATATGCCGTATGATCATTAAGGATCATCTATATTTTTCCATGAGTCATTCTCAGGTTGTATGTCAGCAGTGTTCCGAGAATTATGGTCGCAAATGCAACTTCTGTTTCCCCCAGAGTAAATAAACCACTTAACGCATTCACAATCGTCTCCCTAAGTGTTCAGAGATGGATATCACACGGTACGACCTGTGAATAGGTTAGTGAATTCTTCGCCCGAAGCTACCATTATAGGCGAGGGTTTGGCGGAAAAGGATGATTTGGGCGAACAGGCATCGTAATGGATATACTAGGCATCCTACTGGTACGCGAAAGAAAAACAACTAGGTCACAAGTGTCTCACACAATCTGGGCCGTTTTTCGGGCATCGGGCTTCATCTGATCGTAGGCTTCTGACGAAATGGAAGTGTACATATTCGTCTATGCGTCATATTGCCCTTCATATAGGTGCTGGCAAAGTCAATCGCACTTATGTACCAGGAAAGAGGTGCAACGTATTCTTAAATGACTTTCTTGTGAACGTGAAAGTGGTAAGTTTGCCTGCGTAGTCGACGACTTGGAAGGCGGAATGAGGTGTTGTATGTGGTCGTGGTTATGTTGTATTAGCGGAGATTGTGATGGAAATGCATGTGACCGGATAAGCCTATGCGTATCCCAGGTTGATTGTCTAATGCTGGTCTCGTTCTCTCTTGTCTACCCTATGCACTAACCATGCCATTTTAGCCTGTCAAGTAATTCGTGATGGCGTTGGACTCAGTTGTTAGCAAAGGGAAGCTCTTGGTCAACGCGTGCTGTACTTCAACTGGTTCCCGTTAAATACACAGGGTAACATTGTAGGGCATGCCTCCCTCTCAAATGAGACGTGCATTATATTTCATACGAAATTTCTTCACGTAAGGACACTGCTGGGATTAGGTGCGTGTATAGCAGAGGGTATATTTGTCGGCAAAACCAGGCGATGTCCTAAGGTCTAAGGGCAAATAAACAGACACAAGAGATTAGTCACGTAGGTGAGCGCTTGCCATCCATGATGATGCAGATAGAAGTGCGTTTATGTGTCGTCGTGTCCGCATTAGCGCACTTCCATCATCATCTGCGTGACATGGTTATTGAGAAAGACGACTGTTTCCAGGATCTACATGTCGGGGGGACCGTCTTGCCAGCTCGACTTTCGCATTCAGCAGATGCAACTGAAGTAAAAATGATTACATTTTCCCATCCCCCTTTAATACACAGTTCATGACTTTAAACAATACGGAAACGTTGTCAGCATGCCGGCCTGATACACCTCCGGTTTTGTGTGCGTGTAGGGTTTGCAGTGCTTCCCAACAGAGTGCTGAGCTCGACGGAAGAACTTTTTGACTTTGGAAATCCGGTGTTGTTTGTCATCGTCTGTCTTAATATTCCTTGCAATTTTACGTTCCAGATAGGCACTTATGTCAACAGAGTTAAGCTTCATCCACCCGGATCCTTGATACACTGTGCACATAAAATGACACTGTCCGAAGTTCTCGCAGCTCGTAACAGACAGCTGCATGATCGCTTTTGTCGCACAGTCGTCTGCGAACGGATCAGGAACACTAGCCGCGGCGACTCATGAGGTTCACGAATGTGAGTCCCAGGTTTTTGTTCCTATCATGTGATTGGTTATGAGTTTTAGAGGTCGATAAGTTTACAGTAAGTGCACTGGGGCAATGTAGATTCCCGCTGGCTTCTTATTGCAGGTGTTGATCATTGTGATGGACAACATGAGGTTGAATATGGTGGGAGCAAGTGCACAAAACCGCCGCCTGTACTTTTTCGCACGCAGTCCGCATCAACTTTACGAAAGAAATCAATAGTTACCATATCAGCAACTTCTTTACAAACTCAGCCGGTGACAGGCGGTTGAAAAAGATGTTCCTCAAGACTCCGTTCTTGGTCTTACGTCAACCACTGCGTCAGTGAACTTGATTATCGTATCGCCGTACTTTGGAGAACATTCGTGCTGAATTTGACGAAGAACAGTTGTGGGCAAACCTGGAACTGCCCGAGAAATGGTCGCAGGACCGAATTCCGCCGTCTAATGTGACTAAGTGCAGCATTCTCAGAGTCAGTGGAGCCCACGTTTACCACCTTAGATGAAGTAGACGCTCGTAAGGGCCTGAGTGTGTAGATCACGACTTCACTTTACCAATCGCTGTACTGCTGAAAGGTATCCAAGTCTCATGTTGGCATTGTCAACCGGACTCTTTCCGCCTTCGACGAAGACTGCATCGCTAGAGTTTTCAGGCGTTTGTGCAGCCACAGTTGGGTTTTCCTATCCCAGCATGGAAACTGTGGACAGCTATTGACCATGACATTATAAAAAATGCTAATGGGCGCGAACCAAGTCTTTTTAGTGGAGAAGGCTTACTTCCAACCGAAACACGCTTATCTCATCTTTTTAAGACAGCAAAGAGGCGACCTGATACACACATTCCGTATCATGAGTGGTCAGGACTGCTCTCTTCGACCTGGAGACTTCTTTTGTTCAGCAACCGAAACGAACCTCCGCGGTCATCCCCTAAACCACATGTGATTAGCGCCGGGCTGGATACACGGAAGTCCACCTTCTCCAACAGAATAGTTGAAGCTTGGAATGCTCTTCCCCCAGACATCACTATGTCCTCATACGACTGCCAATACTTTCGATACTGCCATATTATCTGTGGCGCGTGCCATAATTCCGTAATATCATCTGTGCAGTGAGTTATGCACAGACATATATCAGCATAAGCTCCCATATTCCATCATTGGTGAATGTATAGATGTTCATTGTTAAACATACTAACGAGGTGTGCAGTATGGCCTTCAATGCGTGACGTTTTACCAAACGAAGCTTCAGACGCCTGAGAAGAGTGTGGACGACAATTTCGCCTACTGCGTTCAGGGGAGAAGTAACCACGTGATTGTCGCATAGTTTTCGGTTGATCATAGATTTTTAAGGACGTATGATCGGCATCTCGCATTAATTACGCCGGTTGAATCGTTTTGCGTCCTAATGGCGGAAGCTGGGCTACCTGAACCCGTGCGAGCGTTGACGCACAAATACAAAGTTGGACCCCAAATCGGCCTGCCTGCTTGTCAGCTGGGAATTTTTTCGAGCCGTCTTGCTTTTAGGTATCCCGACTTCTTACACAAACCTAAGGACCTCTCATTTCCTTAATCAAAGCTGTGAATGCCGATCTTGCATGGCATGTCCCTTTGTTTTATGTAACCTCAACACGCATGATAATTATCACATCACGTGACGTAACCATCAGCAAGGCTACCCTTTGAATTTCTTTAGAGCACAGTATATGTATCACAGCTTGACAGCAAAGAAATCGCAGGTATTATTGGAGCCTTTACATTAACTGAGAACGCAATCTAACTTCCAAGCTGCCTAGCTTTCCCTTAAAACTTTTCTAGTTGGAGAAAATGTGCAGAACATATATCCACCAGTCTGTTTCATCATGACTAATTGTTTCCACAATTAAGAGAAGTCATTAAAGTGGACAGATTTGTACTTACTTCAAAATTGTCAAATATGAGGGCAACGGAGAATCCGGCGGGAACTTCAATCACCCAAGTGCACTCCCTATTTGGCAAGTAGACATCCGGGTAACCGGGGCTGTTAAACGTACCTTCTTCCGCCCTTAGATAACCACCGCAAATCACTAATATACAAAAATAAATAAGTAAAACTACAAGCTTATTTTTGTTTTTAAAGTTTCAACTGACAGTAAACATAGCGGATGGTTAGGACGTTAGATTGCTAACTAACATGTTGCGGGATTGAGTCCCAGGGGTTGTTCACCTCGGGATTGGGTATGCCTGGCAAATGACGGCTAAAGAGTCAAAAATTTCACCTAAGCCTCTCATGTATTTGTTTGTAAGGCTCTTCCTGGCTGACTTTTGAACTTTAGCCGCAACCTTTTTTGCTATCCAGTCATATGGGAATTTTCTCATAGGTACATCCGTTGGCCTATTTTACGCACTATACACTGATTTTTCCCCTTTTTTGTTTATCGGAATTACAATAGTGAGGTCATTGGCACAGTACGCTAGCAACCTTCTAGAGGACGTAAAATCCGGCAGACATTTTATGGCATATTCACCGGCTATTCCTCATGATGTCGACAGGTGCAGTTTTCGGCATTTATCGCTTGTGATCTCCTAATGTTATCTGTTTTCGTACCCATTTTATTCTCTGTGAATTGAGTCATTTTGCAGGTAACTGTAGAATGATGCTCCATAAATAAAACGCATATCATTTAAGGGTAAGCTGAATTCAACCTTCTCCAACCACAATTGGCTGTGTTTTCTTAATCCATACTTGACGAACATTATGAAAGGCACGATTAATACTGCAATCTGTTGTAGGACAGCGACAATCGAATTCTCTAGGTCAAATATCATCTCACTGATTGTCGCATAATTTGTTACATCCGAGCCCCCTGTACAAAAAACACCACAAATGACGAAGACAGAATGGCGGAGGGAACATAGCTGTGCATTGTTTTTAAATCAAACCAAATTTAACTTTTTTCAGACGCAGACGGACGCACGATTTGAAATCAAAGTTTCACTCCAAAATTGCTTATCTATAGTGGTTCCAAATAAAAAATCAAATCCCGAAACTTTTTCAAGATTTCTGTAACTAAGTAGCCGGAATTTATAATAAGACAATAAGATTAGAAACCCAAAGACCCGTTGCGAAATTGATTAAAGATACCAACAGGAACGGTAAGCTTGCTTCAGCTGTGCTGGTCACGAAGGGGAATTGCTTACGGAAGCCCACCAGCGGTCGATCGCAGCGGGATTATAAATAAGAAACAAGCACTGCATAATATGACGAGGTCGGGGACAACGGGTAACTCTCCACTCTGATAGTGGAAATGTGAGAATTTAAGAGATGCCAGTGTAATGCAATTCGGTCCGTAAGCCACCCGCCTTATGCCTTCTTTGGAAGAGTAGGCTCATTGGTCCCAGCTATGCAAAATATACATATATACCCGAAACCGCAAAGGGAATGCAGGGAAACCCAATGAGGACCCGAACCCCTCGCAGCTAATTCACGCAGCGACAGAATATCGACGATACACGTGCCTGCGCTCTTAGTTAGTACCGAGAGTATGATATAATACGTTTTCCATATACATTTCATAATACTCGTAGTATTACCTTTTATTTTAGAATAGGCACTACGTGGTTATATCACAGTAGCTGGTTGTCTCTGACCCAAATGTTCATTGAAATTTCGAGTCTGCCCCTAAAAAGTCATGTCCCGGAAACTAAGCTACAGGTCCTGTACTGAATAATTTCTGAAATTTTTCGCTTGATTTACACACACGCAAAGATAAAGGGAGGCTGGAATGGTTCTTTCTGGCTTATTAGCGGTCGTCAGCCAATTATACACAGGCTCGAAGTTTGGAACACTTGGGGTCTGATCCTCTGACTTGTTAGTTATAAGCCCAACCCCTCTAACCGCTGGACCACGTGCTCGTTGTCCTGTCTGCCTCAACCCCTATACCTGAGCATCAGTTAGCGGTGAGGGGACGAGATCATCTATCCCAGATGGCTATGCAGACACTGTACAATAAACACAAATTTGCATGTGGAAAATTCGCATTGTTGGCGCCTGGGAGCAATGCACTCATAAGGTGCATGCATCAGTCGGCATATCGTATTAGATACCACATACACATTTCTCGGGGACGAATGGAAGCGATCGCGGCCATTGCCTAGGGGATGACGAAATACCATCATAACGTATTAGCGCAGACTTCGGCCAACCACAGAATCAATTGTTCTACACGATTGAATATCTGACAGTCTTTGTACATCATCTGACGAAGAGCTGAGGAACCAGTCTCGAAAACCCATGCGATAAAGATTGTCAATATAAGAGTAAGAGACCAGTCCCAGGAAGCAGTCTTGAAGAAGGAGACAAGTGCTTTATTAGCCTGACGTTTCGGAATCCTGCTCGAACCCATCATTAGAGACCCGTACCTGCTTTTGTCTTTGATGATGGGTTCGAGTAGGAATCCGAAACGTCAGGCTAATAAAGCTCTTGTCCCAGCGGCCAGCTCTTGTCCCAGCGGTCAGGATTATTTTATATTCAATTTTGATGGTCTATGTCCGGCGATGATATAGTGGATGAGTATAGGCTTGCTGGGAGGACTGAATTGCAAAGAAAATGAGGTCAGAGACACTAACAATATGTTGATCACTTTGGGTGTACAGGAGCCCTGTACGAGCTCCTGTGTGAGTACGAACGCTCAGACGAATAAACCTGTTGTTCTACTGACTCAGCCTTTATTGCAACAGAGACCTGTGACCAACGCACTCGTTTCCAATTGAGTTACATCCCTCAATTTTCTCTTCCTTAGTCGCTAAATTCATTTTACTCACTGAGGATTGAGATCGACTTCCCTTACAGAAAGACCTAAAAGAATGGACGTGCTCCGTCCGAGCACCCCACCTATGTCGGATGATCTTTAAAAAAACGTTGTCTATACTGCTTTAGCAACTTTTATCTTTCACTGCCAATCAGTGCAGCCACATACTTTTGTGCTAAATAAGCGTGTTTAATGTGTGCTTACCAGTGTATTTTGCGGCGAATCCAGTGCTTTGTTGACCTGCGGATCGCGCATACTCAATCAGCATCCTCGGGCCTGATGAAAACAGAGTTTGTGGAAGGTTTGTTCCACAATAACGACCTGTGGTATAGAATACATAACAAAAATTAAGTAACAACACTCGAATATATCGTAATTATAATTCACATCGCAACTTCAAAGACTCGACAATCACCTTTTTCATGCAAACGTATGCATCCCGCATTCAGTGTTTTGAAGTAGCTTTACCGTAGCTTTACTGAACCATAGGCTTTGTCCATCTACTAGGCAAAAAATTGAACAAACTCTTGGAGACTCATTGGGTTCTGTTTATGCATTTACATACTTGTACAACTCAAACATGTTCGAAGATTTCAAATTGTTTTGACCCACTGTTGGTTGTCGTCCATTTTAAGCATACAGAGAACTCGAGTGATAAAACACCAACTTCATTTGTGGTTTCTTTAAAGGAAGGATTCATTTCAGAAGACATTTGGGGGCAAAAAAAACAAGAATTCACATAGCTCTAAAACTTTGACAAGCGTTGTCTGGAGAACCACGCTAAATAAACTTTCAAGAATTTAAAACGCCGTTTACAGATACTTTTCACAAATAGACAACTGGAGGTAGAATAACTTGGAGAACAAGTGAAATTAGTCGTATATATATAAGGTGACCTTACGACCTACCCATCAGAGGTGACCCAGAATGATAGCCATCCCTGACTTCAACGTACTCTTCGATGCAATCACGGTCGTCTGAAGCAGTATTTGGTCCGTTGTTATTTCTCTGTGAGTTGCTTGCCGGCGAAACCATGCCCATATGCGTGAACTCTAGGCGGATGCGCTCCTCTCTGGTAGCTGCAATTCTCCACTGACAGGACACGGGATCTGTAGCAGCAGAATCGGAGCTGGCCAAATCGGACTGTCGTTGGGAAGGAAGTTTATTTATAGATGACAGCCCTTGACTTTTTCCAGCACCTTCAAAAACGGCCTTTTCTGATTTTTGAGTTTCGTCGATTTGCTGGGCTGGAAGTTCGGATCCTTGTTGTCTGCCGCTGGCGTCTGCTGTCTGCCGGGTTGTCTCCGCATGAGGAGACCCAAAGGTGCCGGAAACTTCTAGCAGCGTTCGTCCACAGGCTTAGAAAATAATAATGGCAGTTATACGTGTCTGATTGACTGAAATTATCTGACTGCGAAAATCGTCCGGTGCAAGTACACTACTTATACATGTCTAAACAGATCAATAGGCGGGGGCATTGGCGATATTTCTGAGTAATATCATTTCCCGAACTTCAGGTCCTCTAAAGTTTAAGTCCAAATGGATGTCTAGCAACTTTTGATAGGACAGAAATTGCCATTCTCGCTTCCAAGCTCGCTTGGAGCAAAACTCGCATTGTTTGTGTTTGTTCATCTAAAAAGGTCGGGACATATTCTAAACCAAACATGGTTGCGGGTAATGTATCGATCAACGGATCGAATTAGACTCCATGTACAATAATCTGAAGTAAAGCTGGAAAGGAAGAGATTCAATTCGAACAATGTTTCAGCAAACGCCAGTGCCTTATTGACTAGAATGACGAAGCATTATCGATCAGTCGGGCAGGTTTAAAGTTTTTACGAACTCAAACATTTGCTGCGCGTCTGACGACGAACTGGGGAGGCACTATTAAAAATTTTGAAATTAATTTTGGTTAAATTTCTCGAAGAACATATCCAGCCAGCGACCGATCGGGTGAATTATTAGCCAAAATCCCCAAGTGCTTTCAATTAGGAAGAATTAAAATATCGTTTATCGTGCAACACAAATCCATGATATTTCAGTTCCGCCGGAATGCTGATTTTTGAATGCACCTCCTCTTGGCCCCCTGCCGAGACCGAACTCAGCAAAGGGTTATCTACTTGTGTCCTAAAAATTTTTTTCTAACGGCCTTCGACGCCTGAATAAGACACACGTATTTTATATATGACATGCGCAAAAACGTTCTTTCTTACACTTATGTGATAGAACCTTTCTTGTCGCACGTTGCTCAATGTTAAATACATTTGAGACTTTCAAATCTAATTTCATGACAGTGACCAATTTGTGCGATCGATCGAGAAGAATTCAAGGTTTTGGCTTCCGACCCCCTAGGTAGGGAACGTTTCAGAGGCGGCGTAAAGAATTCTGAAACCTTTTGGGATTTATGTGACTCACAAACCGGTATTCATAATCAGACAGGAAATTATGAGGCCCAAAGACCTCCTGCCATCAACAGAACAATTTGCGGTCGTCTACAGTGTACCATGCCAAGATTGTGTCGCGTGGTATGTTGGTGAGACGGGCAAACGCGTTGGCACAGGGTTCTACGAGCACCAGCTCGTAATCAACCGCAAGGATAGGCTGTCGCTGGTCTATGACCTCACACAACAGCAGAATCGCGGTTGCGCCTTAGAAAAGGCGGGAGTTATCAGTGCAGTCGATGATAAGATGGTCAGACTGATGCGACGCTCGCGGAGAACAGGGAAGGCGCCGACCGAAAGTTGTGTGATAGGCGTGGCAGTATCTTATGGATGTGCCCGCGAGACCGAAAACACCACGCTTGTGCAGCAATATTTGACCAGTCCATCGCCTGACGAGGTGGCGGCCAAAGGACACACTGACTTAACGGCAACCTCGACAGTCGCGAAGGGATGCAAGCCACGCAAGTCCACCAATGGGCGAAGTCAGACAGGTCAGAACCAGCCAACAGCAAACAGGCTAGCCAACGTACGTGCGTTGAGCATGGCTATAGTACTAGGTGGGCGGAAAGGCAGAACAAATCAAGGTCAGCAAGAAAAACCAGCGAGTAACACATGTGGTGGAAACGAGAAACTTTCCGAAACCTCCGTATGAATTCAACCTGGTCCATCAAATAGCCTCCTCTTATTTGTCTTCTTCGGGGGAGAGTAAGCACAATATATATATACATATGTAGATAAGAGGTGCTATGCATTCTGAGCCGATATAATAAAGAAGAGGCTCTTCAAAAAAGCGATTTGTACTCGAGTACAACTCGTGTATGTGCATGTATTCTCCTTTCCGATGGTTGCATTCATGGTCCTGTTTCGAGAGACGGCCGGGCGTCTCTTGCGCTTTGCAGAGGCCACTGTAATGCGGAGGAGGAAACTAGAACTCTGTAAGCAGTTGGACCACGTTATAAACCTGGCACTACCATGGTTAGGATCGATTAGGGACGAAGCCCTGTTCCCACATACGCCCTCTCATTTCGCCTCCACCCTCCCCCTCCAAGGCATAAGTGAATGCTGCCCGCGCGTTGCACTTTTAATCACGCGGGATATGTTCTCACTGTAATCCTAACTCGCATGCTTAGATGACTTCTCTCCCCATCGCCCTCGCCAAGCGCACCAACATACTAGACTCATCTGTCATGTTACCTATCATGTTTTATCTCTCTAGGTCGATCGCTCATCGAACCGTTTGCCTCGTCATATAACTGTGCAATGACCGTGTGCAGCTGAATGAGAGGTCTCGAAATTTATGACGCCAGTAATTTCTGCATGCGTGGTTGCCTTTGCCTTATTTAAATGTATTATAGGAAAGCAATGTTTCAATAAAACCAAAATAACCGAATGAATAACCAAACGGTAATATCCCATTTTAAGACGTCATTTCACAATGGTTTGCGGTCTGACCTCGTGCCAGGACTTAAACAATGATTGAAGATTGGATAAATATGCATAAAGGCTTTGTGGAACGCATTCCCGAAACTAATGCATACTGCAAACAAAGTAAAGAAATTATGGTAAAAGATGTTAATTTTCCTTGTTTATAGTAGCACTAGAGTTCACTGACCAAACTGGACTTAATTCAATAATTACGTTTCTGGCTAAATGTTTGGATGATATATATTTTTCATTATCGAATGGAGACCGCGATTCTACCGAAAAATCCCCAAAGTGCCCATTCCCCAAATCATTGTCGCTGCGTTTCGAGTAAAGTTTATATTTTCCTCCCTTCCCTAGATTTTTTTGGGCAAATATTTGCTGGGCAGAAAATTATGTCTTAACAAGGACATTTGCTAAACACAGAACCAGGCCAGTTTGCAATATGATAATAGGATCAACGGTGCTTTAAAACTTTTGAAAACTGTGAGAGAAGAGCATTGCAGGAAATGCTTCGGATATCCCCAAAATTTTCCTCCCTTTCAAAGTTTCGCAATCCTTTTCTGTTCTGTCACGTACACTTTAGAGTTTGGAGTAATTGTTGAAACCTGTTAACCTCAACAGAATACTTTTCATCCCATCAGAAAGGGATATTTTGCTGTGCAGTTTGGGAAACACTGATTCTATACGCTGGTTAATAACGTATAATGGTTACTTACAAGTCACGTGTGCGAAAACACACGATCTTACGAACCTTAAACTAACAAGACAGAGGTTAATGAAGAGTGAATTTACCATAAAGAGGCCCTGGCAATTGAGACGAGCAAAGTACAAGACTCACAAGGACATCTGTAGAGCATGTTCGCCTGTCTAATGTCACCCGGGCTGAGTTTTGTTCGCTGACCAATAGGCGGGCGTGGACAGCATTGAGTAGGCCTCATCGTTTCATATTCTCCAGCTTTGGCAAAGGCGCCAGTCGGGTAGTGCATAATTGACTCGTAGTCATAAGGTTCGCCCAGCGAATCTACCTCGTTATCATCCATTCGTTGGAAGTTGTAAAACCAACTGGGCGTAATCCTCTCTTTAAAAATTTCTACGTACGCTGGTATTGGACAAAAAGACAAGAAAAATAAATAGCCGATTTGCTGCAAAAATACACATACATTTTAAACCAATTTTTACTGGTTTATCTTATCGATCATGACTGGAATTAAATAGCGTGATTTACTATTTGAAATCATCGGCGCCTCGGTGAGATTCGAACCCACACAGTAAGGAGAAGACTTTAGTACAGCTAACACTCTAACCACTTGAGTTACGAGACCCCGCCGGACGACTTGAGTCTAGTCACATTTGGGTCAAGTTACCCCCCTCACTCCAACCTACTGCAATGTCTGGAATCCACGAAATCGGGTATAGTAAGTTGACTGCCCAAGCAATATTTCCTAAGTAATTCACCTAAAATCCACCAGATGACTACCAGGCTCACGCAATTCATAGATATTTTGGCAGATTTTGAATAATTCATATTGACCCAACTGTTAAAAACTCGGCGCCTTGGTAGGGTTCGAACCCACGCAGTAAGAGAAGGCGTTAGTGCATCCAAAATCTGCCAAAATATCTGTGTATTGTATCTGCCTCCTTTTTCTGCTTATGGATGCCGTACTAGATACAACATGATGTCTTATGTTTAACGCAGATCTGATGATTATGACGCAACTCTAAAAAATTGCGTGGTATACTAATATTCTGCAGAATAATCGTGACAACTAGCAAGAGGATTGTACAGTTGTTTTACAAACTTACCATCGCGATCTGGTCGGCTCTGTTCATGCCAAAACCCCAAAGCATGTCCAAGTTCGTGCAGTACTATTCCGTGAGTCTGACATCCTGGTCCGATGGAAATCGTTTGTGACATGCGCTCGTTTTGACGACCGACGAAAGAACAGCATCTATTTATGTTTAAAAATGCATAAGCTTGTTGTATAATTTAGTTTATTGGGAGTTTTGCTTATAATGGATGGTAAGTTAATTTTCCTCCGATTAAATCGCTTAAACAAAAACTGGTTAGAAATGAACAGTTCTGTTTTAATTACTAAGGTCCAGTTTTCTTCATTGATATCCGAGATGATTATAAATTGGCCTAAAAGACTTCAAACACCATATTCGACGTAAAATTAAGGACGTTTAGGTCAGTTAGCTTCCCTGCACTACTCAAGGATGCAGATATCTGAACAATCTTCCAAGCTGATGTAAAAGAGTTTTCTCATTCCTAAATAACTTGATGGGGAAGGATATGAATTCTGATATGACGGGAACGGATCCTCGATATCTAGATGTTTAAGTGGACGTGCAGTCTATTCATCCAAGTCATGCTGAAGCAAGCATTTTTAACCACGATTATCTGGCCACATTGTCGGATGGTTAATGGGTGCATTCTGAGCCAGTGCTCGCATGCGATATCGTCAGGGACGTAAACTGAAGGGACGAGAATAACGGTGTTAAAAGGGCTTATTTAAAACGCGCCTCAAAAGTATGTAAAATAACCACGAGGCCTCCAAATCGGTAACACTGAACCAGCGGGCATAGTGAACAGCAGGGAAGGACTATACCGCCGTATCCTAATTCAAAAATACAGAAGATGCCATGGCGAAAGTGCACCCACGAAGGATAGATACGCCATTTACCAATGCCGGCAACGCAGAAAGTCCAATTATCTGCTCCTACAGTCAAAGCGTGTCCAACACTCCAGTTAGCTTTATCAGACACAATGGAATTCGCCAGAATGTCAAAGCCACCGCTGCATAAGCAAGTACAAAGTACCCGCAACGTCACCGGTGACGCTCATTCTCACTTGCATAGGCTAAAATGATGTAGTACAGTCTCGGTTTCCTCGTAAAGCATACTGCTGACAGTTTAGAAACCCTGAATGCTTGTGTAATGGCAGGTTGGATCCAGATGTTTTCGGGAGTTAGGGATGTTTTTCTTTAAATCAAGATAAAATCCTTCTCTAGATGTAAAGTTTGAGGAAAATGTGGTTTTCTAGCGAATGAGCGAAAAAAATATGTTTCTGCATTTCCTCTATAAGAGAAATTTGGATATATATAAGGATATTAAAATTAATGGAAAAAATTGCATTATATAAGTAGTAGATTATGTGGCATGTAACCTACGCCAACAGTCAATAAGAACCGATTTCTAAGAAAAGGCATCCTGAAGTGACTAAAGCATGTTAACACTATGCGAGATTAAGATTAAGATGACAACCCTACTTGAGTTATCTTTTCGAACTAGAGACATCTTTTGGAATATAACTCAACAGTTAATGAGATAGCATATCTACTGCATGTCACGGTTAGTCAACATCGTGCTGAACAGACAAGGTACTTCTGACACGAATGAGTAGCACTTAACCTCGAGGTAAAAAATACGACGCTTGTGATGAACATTGCGCATTCTGTGCAGAATGGAGTAATAAGCCCCTTGCTCCTGCAGATCATTGTCGAACTGTTTTTCTTATATAGGATGGTTTATGTCGACTCGTGCAGCCTCAGGCGAGACCGACTCCTCATCCTTCAGTTTATCTGTCGCTCCAGCAGAAGATGCAGTCTGGTCTTGTTTTGTTTAGCTGAACATGATCAGAGAGACGGGACTTGTTGATAGTGGCTTTACATACCTTGTGACGGACCTGTCGGCAGAATAGTAAGGCAGTCCCCAATCATCAAGTTGGTCAATTGGTAGTCCGAAGAAGAGCGGAAATTTCAGTCTGTTAGAATAAGCAAGGACCCTTGTTGACTGCTTTGACGAATGACAACGGGCCCAGTTTCCAAACGAGTTTGAAACTGATGGGTCGCCGCTGCGTTTAACCGGATATTACCACGAGATACATTTCATCCTCCGTTTGAGTGAGTTCCAGACTGCAGTAACTTCTTCTAATTGCGTCTTCTTCAGCTTATCTCACCCTTATGTTATTCGGTCCTGCATACGGTGCTCATATGTGTCAGTCATTACATCCAACTCATTCCTAGTCGGTTTGACGTGGAGAGGGAAATGGTGCATAGGAATTTTAACAAAGCGCGAAGTCAATCCAGCCCTCACCGCTCATTTTAAACAATAAAAATGTACTTTCAGAACATCCCAACGCGACAGCAGTCGTGTTCAAGAAGGTTTGCAACCGAGGAAATGACTCGACTCCATTGAAGACTTAGTGTCCGCTTGCAATGGCGCTCTTTCTTAGCGTGGCCTTTACAGCACATACGTCTTTATGTGAGATCCGAGAACACTTATTCGGCAATGCGCCTACACCCACACCTGGCCACTCTAACCTTGTTTTATCATCGAATACCGATGGCTGTAGGAACGGAGTAAATGTAGCACGCGTATTCCTCTGATAAAATTCGCAATCGTAATGACCGCGTGGAACGGAGATGCACCTCGGCGACTGCGGTTTTTATTGCTCTGAATATTACAATATTCAAATCGAAAGTTCGCATGCTTGCTAAGATCGGATTTGACATCTTAGATGTGAAAGACCTGATTAAATTTTCAATTGTAATATAGCACTGCACTTGGATTTCTATTTGAAAACGGGATTTATGCCAGAATCCCCATGAAGAAGGCAAATGAGCACACCGACATAGCTATACATTCACAATTACGAGATTTATTAAGCTAAGTCATTGTTTTTTATGCACAAAATCATCTTCCAGCAAATTTAGGGATTTTAATATAGCGAAAATGGCAGGCGACTTTGCCCGGTTTAAAAAAAATGCAACTGTAATAGTTAAACTCGGTTTGGTGGATTTGAAGCGGATTCCTGTTTTTGGCAGCCCAGTTAAGCAGCAGCAAAGGAGCAAAGGCACTTACCCACATGCCTTGATTGTGAAGTTGAGGTAAGACAGGTGTTGTGGTTCCCATTCTACAAATTTGAGGCACGTGACGTTTTCCCATGTCCGCATTGCCTTCAAAATGGTCGCCCTTATAGAACCTTGGTGGGATTAAAAGATTGTTGTCTGATTCGTGTCACTAGATGTTTTTAAAATTCAGATCAGATAATTATCACGCAGAAACCTGAAGAATGAAGCCTTCTGGCGCCTAATTCCGGCAAAATAACTCCAGCCTGCTCGTAAATTTAAAGCCATCAGATTCCTTAGTAGTCAGGGTTTCCCGGAAATGAAGCCCGCCTTGATTCTCTCATTACCCTTCCCAATCTACTGGAACACTTATGCTTAAAAGTGCTTTTTTTCGTACATTTTAAGCATTTGATGCAGTCTTTTTTGGCTATCAGTTGTGTTAATCTTATGAGCACTCGCATAATAAATGGGATTTTATCGATAAGTGACGTATTCCTCCTGTCCCTTCTTGCATTTATTCTATGCTAAATACTACTAGCTTATTCTCGAAACATCGGTTCTCCCGGACGTCCCGGTATAAGCGACGCGTGTGATAGTGCTAATTAAGTAAATACTCTGTTTAATTATCAAACTACTCAATCCTTGCAATAATACTGCCTCATATGGTTTAGCACATACGCCCTTTACAGTAAAGTACTTTATGAGCGTTAATCTATTTAGTCATATGCATATTCTTTCATTTTATCGTTAAATTTTCTGCCAAAAACACTTTTTTATTAAAGTGGTACAGGATAACAAATGTTTTAATAATACATTAGGAAGTCATTGGAAGGATTGAAAACCAACATTGCGAAATAACTGCGCATTGTCAGAACTTTTGTGATAATAGGTGCAGTTAGGATGAGGGATTTTTATTTTTATTTTTTCAAGAACGGAATAACTGCTGACTTACCGCGCAGTTTAGGCAAATAGTTTAGTCTGTTCTAACTTTCTTCCATTGTCTCGACTAGAACACTACTACTCTCTTTTTGGGATTTAATAGGTTGAACAACTTGGGCCCAAATGTGGGGGCACTAGGGTAGAATTCGTTAAGGATAAAAAACCCGAAATAGTGGCTTTGGAGTCCGCTACTGCTGTGCCCCGTAAATTAGAATTTCTGTGTCTACTTCACGGTATATAAACAAAACTCTTTGTGCTTGACAAACACATTCCGTTTTTTTCCAGATAACCATTGCCACCAAATAAGTGGTTTTTTTTATTGATGAAAGCATTTTTAATGTTCATTTTTTTCATATATTTTTGTGTTAAATACTACGTCCTACCAAGTACTAACGGAAATCGAAAACATGAGTAAGACCTCTTATATTGTGCAAAAACCATAGTAATTCCTTTACTCTTGGATCGCTACCATCCATTACTCTAAATAAAATGTTGTTAGTTTTCCCTTTTTTGATGCATATCTTTCATCGACTTAAGGCCACAAGCATAGGTACTCACGCGACATTTGGGAGTAATGAGTGTCGACTTCACTGGTCACTGTTGTTGATCGAAAGAAGTGAGAAATTGGCAGTATGTTATTCCCGACAATGTCAAGGGAGACTGGTGTCTTTGCCAGTAATAACATACTATCTATATCATGCGCCGCTGTGCGGCTGAGGGTTGGGCTCGAGAGAGAGCCCGTAAGGCACAACGTAATGACTGAGTTCCGTAAACGATCGGCGAGCATCCCCGACCAGTAATGACATTTCCGACTTTCATTCCCAACGTGGATTCTTTCAGACCTGCTGGCTGATGACAACTGTTAATGCACACACAGCAGGAAAATATTGAATTATGAATTTTTCCCGTGCTGTGAAGTTCAAAGCAACATTTTCACCAGGTTAGCTTTATCTCAATAGCTTGGGGGTTGTGAATACTATGACAGATTAAGTGGCTGGTAGTTGTCCATCACAGTTGGACAGCCAGTATTCTAAGTCGCACTTTGGCCTTCATGCAACGTTTCTCCCAAAAAAACAATCCACTGACTTTGCAACCTACACGACAACAGATCATCTGCTAAACCCGGCGACGTAACAGATAAATGACTTTTTTTAATCCGGAACGCGAAGCACGAAACCAGAAGTGACAACGGGACAGATATTTCGCCTGACTCGATGGGAGACATAAATCACTGTCGCAAATTCAGCAATTTAGCTGAATTTGATAAATCTGTGGATATGCTCTTGTTAGGAATCAATATGTCTAAGGAAACATTAACAAATATTATTATATTCCTGTGTACGGCTCCCGATGTTCACAGAAATCTCCCAGAAGCTGAATCAGTTCGAAACGCACTGCTCTTATGAAGGATGTTATCAGGCAGAACTGTAATATCCTTTCACAATACTTTCCAAAAATAGGTGCCCGCGCAGGTTTGCACGTCACTGCTCTAGGCAGAAGAAATTCAAGCGAAAGGTATTCCCAATTCTAAGGCCTCCCTGGCACCAAAAGGACTCACTTGTCTGGCTGTCAGCAATGTACCGTGGCCAGTCGAAAGGCAGCGAAAAAATAATCCATGAACGAAAAGGACCCCCCGATAGTTGTCTCACTACACAGCTTCTATACTTTAAGGACAGGGTTAGCTACCCCGACAGGAAAAGTGTTTTGATGACGTCTGTTGTGACCAAACTAGTTGCTCGGTCTTCACATGATTATCAGTCAGTGATGAAAAGGCGAGGTCATCTATCTCAATTGGTCATGCACACACACTGGTAATTGGGTACAGATGTGCGTCAGGGAACAGCCGTACCTGTTAGCACCTGTCCAACAAGGAAAGACCGAAAATTCCTGAAAACAGTTCACACAGATTACGCATTTATCAATGGACATATTCAAGTAAATCTCGCATACAACGACTGTAAGGACAAGTATAAACCGGCTTAGACGGTACCGTAGGAATGACGGGATGCAGTTGACGCGTATTGGCGCAGACGTTGGCTACCAATGTAATCCTTTGCTTAACATAGTTAGGGAGTCAATTGTTTTTGTGCACCCATAGTCTGACGACGAGCTGGGAACCGGCCTTGAAAATGCATACAGATGTGTAGGCACATGCGTATGTAATGGTGAAACCGGAGAACGTTCGTCATAGCCTGAAGTTTTGCGAGCGTTCACAAGCACCCATACTTCGAATGCACATCTTAATTTACTTCAAGTAGTGCGTCTGACACATTGCTGATGATAATTTTCATATTTATCAACAAAATATCAAATTTACAGATGTGCATGCATTACCATACTTAATGAACTCACTGGAAAACATAGGCCCTATTTCGTATGGGATGATTCCAGACGGCCAGACATGCCGACTCAAAGACGTGACTGCTCGTCGGCTACGCTGTCCAAACTTTTGTACAGCACGAACACCAGCATGTAGTGATTTATGCGACTGCGACAGCAATTCTTCACTGGCTGCTGTTTGTTTTTGTCCTTCCCGCAGCAGTTGTTTGGGGGAATAAAATCCTTGTCGACTGCGCCCAGAAATGTTCAAGCGGAAATAAAAAGGTAGACGAATCAGATTAATCGAGCCCGATCAGATACAATAATGCCTCCCCCAGACAGCAAGCGCTTATACTCTCGAAAGCTTTATGTGAGAGTCTATGAATCCATTCCAACATGCATGTTGCAGCAATCTTGGTTAAAAAATACAAGGTCTCGACGTATCCTTGAGTAATACTTTTGAAAAGTTTCCGGCTCAGTTGCCTGGCCGTCACGTTCGAGCACCGCCTGTTTACCTTATGCCGTAATTTCCGATGAAATGCATTTGTCGCCTTGCTTAAATATGTTTTTATATATGTTTAAGAGTCATGAACAAGAACTGGTTACCTTATCCAGGACTTTAATTATTGCGGCTGAAATACTCATTGGGCCCTTGGTTACAATTTCTGCGATTTGCAAAGGCTGTTTGAAGGAAGAACCTCAGTACACATTAAATTCGGTTCGACTGGGCATACTTGGTTGGTCAGGCCGCGGACTTTTATCTACAGCACTTTTGGTTAGACGTTTACCTCTAATACAATTATAAAAGGAAAGGTTTTCTGTAGAAATGCTGCCCTTAGGATTGGTACAATTTAACATGTTTCTCTCTCCTGATAGATTCGCAGAATCACCATAATTACGCCATCCGCTACAATTATGCGCATAGTAGACTTGGTTCTCCAATTAGTACGTGTGTTTTCGCGGATGATGACAGACTCTTTTTCGAGCACATCATGCCAGAAAACAAGTCACACGTTTGAAGACGAGAATCAAGTTTAAGGTAAATACCTGCATTCGGGAATATATTCAAAGCACTTACATAATGCTCCTCACATGTGAGCCTCCAGGTCTTGCTGAACCGTTTGAAAACCGATTCTCGTTTTCTTTGAAACCGTCCTTAAAAACATTACTGGTCCCTTCAGCGGTCCGCTTGCGTGGGGGGTCGCTCTCGTCGTAGTCGTATTGCACTTGCCGAGTTTGTATGCCATAATCCCAAAGGGCAGCGTATCCCGTAAAGCCATCTAGTAGTGCAATTCCAGTAAGTGTCGCCTTTGTTAAAATGCATCGTAGAATTTTAAAAAGTGGAGAAAATCTACCAAAAGTTGCCTATTTCCCCATGCTTGCCTATTTAATGTTAATGGCATCAGTATTACTTTTTGACGGAAATATAAACCCAAGAATGCTCAAGCTGCATTGCGCTGTTACGTAACTGTGGGCCCACGCGTGATTAATGTGTGTTTTTACATTCGACTGATCATTTGTGTCTGCTAATATACTCAAACGAAATATTTTTTGTTACAGTCAGAAACATGGGTTTTCGGCTAGCATTCACATTGAAAAATGGCAGCAATATATCGCCAGGTGGATGTGAATATGAAATCGCTAAACATCTTAACAACAACATTAACTCCGTAAAGACCCAATAGGAAATGCAAAAACGAGTTTAAACAAACGCACATGAAGTATGATTTCAGAAAACTGTGCCGCTCTGCATAGTGCACGGTGGGCTTCTGTCTTATCATCCATTGAACCGTACTATCGATATAAGAAACGGCCATTTGATGATAGATTTTTGGAAAAAAATTGTGCCGTGTCAAACCGATGTATTATTTTTTCAAGATTTTATTTAAATTGAGCCTTGGGAAATGTGAAATAAACGAAATACAATAAAGTCACCAGCAGCTAATTGACGGATTCAGACACTCTGCATATATTAAGCTTGTGCTCACCAGAAACACGTCAAAACTTTTGGAAAATAGCAATCAGGATATTTAAATTTGGGAATCTCTTATCAAACAGTGTGTTCTGTGTAAATTTGACTTTTGATTGTAAATTTCAGGAACATCTGTAAAGCTGCTCTTCCCGGAGAGCTAACGAAAGTTAGAAAGCGGATATCAGGCATTTGCTGTTCCCTTACATCTAAGAATTGATCACTAGCTCACAAATATGCTTCACTGTTCTCTCTAAACACTTAAACGTAATTGAACACCCTGGAAAATCGCCTCAGCGAATGCTGGCAATCAATACCCTCTGTCCTATCTACAACACCAGTCAGTATCAAATTTCGGACATATACTTCTGCCTTCTCATGTAAAACCTTACCGCCTCTAGAGGAACTGATGTAGGGAGTATCGGGTTGCCTGTCCTCCGCCGGACTCTCTGCACGCATTGCCGATGCGACAACTTTGCCCTCATCGGAGTCCCTTGTATGTTGAACTTTTCTATCTGCATGCTGACGGGCGGCAGATGTGGTCAGAAGACCCGAGAGTAGAATCAGTATGACTGTGGAGGCCGCCAACTCTTTGGATTTTGAATTCCGTACACTCGATGACGTGGTCTTCTGAGGTCTGAGGAAAGGGAGCATTTTGGATCACGTTCACGCCTGTACCTTGGTGCTTTATATAGAAGGCGATTAAGAATGGTAACCAACCGGAATAATGAGCACTTCATTACCCACTGAACTAATTGCCCAATCGTTATCCGCCGCGATGTCTTGGTCGGCGGCTAATACGCCCGGTCAGAAATCGGCCAGTACTCTAGAAAATTGTTATCAGTTTACTAAGTTCATAGCCGGAAATGGTGCACAGCTATGTTAAACCAAACTGAAGAAGTCTTTTGGCAGATCGTTCTGCCGAATCTGCAATATTTAAGTTAAATGTATTTTTCCAACAATAAAAGCAATCCAAGCGTGTTCTTGGACAAGTCAGTCTCTGTTGGCTTCACTACACGATTCCGTGTAGTTTTTCAAATTGACAGGAAAAGTAACATTTGTTAGTATAACTGTGCAAAAAGAGAGTTTTCTACGAAAATGCTTTGACATAAAGCACACTAATTTAAACAGCCATGGCTAGTTCGTATAGAAATCAGCATATCGCACTGCCGATGAGGCAATTCGCAAATGGGTCTGATTAATGTGGCATCAATGCACTATTATAGCACTCACCATGCGCTTTTACATCAGTATGTATTTACATCCTTTCTTTGTCAGAAATATATTTAAGCGCCTTATTTGCATGTCTGCATAGAGTGATCTACCGGCAAATGTATATGTTACTATGAATTTGGCACTGTTATTTAGTTTTAATGCCCCCATTTAAATTCCCTGCCTGTAAGATTCTCGCCAATATCTGCCCGGGTTTGTGGGCTGAGTCGATGGAATTAACCCACAATATGAATGGAAAACAAGTTCGTGCCTAAATAACAGACAGTCCATTATTTCCTAAAGAATTCGCTCATTAGGGATCTCGATAAGATCGTATTAGCAGTGAACTAAGACAATTGCCATATAGTCACCTCGATAATAAAGGCCAGTATCAATTACCTAGACGATACTAAAGCTTTATGAGCTATAACATTAATCTTAGCCACAGACTAGAGGCCGTTTAAAGACTTTGAAACTGTAAGGTTTGCAGTAATAATCTGAAATGTTTGATCAAAGCTGGGCAAAACTCTTCGTTCCACGAGGCACTCAACGAAAGAAAAGCGGTTGAACGCGTTCGTGGAGTTTTTCGTAGCAAATCTGGTGATAGTATTCTCGGAAATTTTCCCGTCAAGATGGCATCATGCGGGGTCTACGCTCGCATCTTTCTCGCATACGCAATGGTGTTAAAATCAAGCGAATGAATAAAGTTTTTGGGTAGTCTGATTCACAGTCTTAACACAAACCCCTTGCTAGAACCTTCCTTCAATTTCAATCAGGATTGCAAACCAAATAAAGTCGAAATGTCAAAATTTACCTTTCTAACTGAGTTAACTACTTAGAGTGTACATATATTTCACAAAGATAAACATTCACCTGTTTAATTTGTTTCGCCTCTTATAAACCTGATTTTGCAGATAACAAAGTTTCATAAAGAGGCTTTATACAAGCACCAAAACGTGTCTATGAAACAACCAAAGCCAAACAAATCCATTCCTATGAACGAACCGTCCTGAGATCTCGGCTAAGAATATGCCGCAGAATATGCCCAAACTTCGAAATTATAAATTTTTCAGTAGACGTCTGAAATAGTTTATCCTAACTGAACAAAACCTTTAGGAAAGCGATATCTGCCCAACGAGACACTCGATAATTAAAGATTGGGCATATAAATGAATTAAGATTTGCAACGGTTTCCTAACAAGAAGCTTATTACCATTTGGACAAAGTACATTTGAACGTTCGTGATTAATTTGAGCTCCACTTGCTACCCGGCTAAATTCCTAATAACATTAAATTCATTGTTAAGGACTGACAATGCGTTTGACCTGGAAGTTCCACTCGGCGGAATGAGCGTTTACCGCCTATACTGAATATATGCGTACTTGGTTTTGTTTTCTACCTCGGGATGGAGCTAATTTTAAAATCACTTGATGGTATCGGCAGAACAAAGGCAAGTGTCATGTGGTCACGTCAATTATCAATGCATGCACTAACTGCTTAAACAGCAAATAAATGTCCATGTTGTCCAATACAGTTAAAAAACCTCAAAATTCGAAATGTTTCAGTAGCAATCTAAAATGGTTGATCAAAACTGAGCAAACTCCTTAGAAAAGCGACTTCTGGCCAACGGGGCACTCGACAATGGAAGGTCGACTGAACTCCTGAATGGCAATTTAAACGGCAAAAATTGCGGCTGTATTTTGGGAAGTGTTTCCATGCAGAAGACACTTTGAAGGGGTGAAAGCATGCGCCATTCCCGCAAACGTGAAAATGTTAAAACCCAACGCAGGAATAACCAGTTCGGTTATCCTGACACGAGCTCTTCGCATGACCTATTTCTTATGCCCATCCTTTAATTACAG